TGCATTTAAATAACAACCGTGTTTCTCTTACTACACCTTTTAACAACTGGTTCAAATTAAAGGTACGATGATGTTGATTAAACTTTTGTGGTTACTACTAGTTCAACAGTACAGGTGAGTTCTTGTTAGTTGTTAAACCTGCTCTATAGCTGGGTGTCAGTGCCTTGCCCAGCATATAATGTATAATTAATTAAGCAAATATTATACAATGTTATAACATTCAGATATATAACTTCAAACATTTGAACCAGGAAAACTAAAATTGACTGTACACTTTCCAGCCAGAAATGTAATCATTTACCAAAATGTAATCAAAGTTACTAATAGGCCGTAACAGTGTATATGTGTATTGTAAATATTATTTTCACAAATTTTCCTTAGGAAATAATCTCTCTCTCTCTCTCTCTATTTTGTGAAATACTATTTACTATTTAAATTTGTGAAAAACTCTGTCTATATATATATATATATATATATAGGCTATATATATATAGAGAGAGAGAGTATTTATGTATTCTCAATCTATATTGATCGACATTACTCACCACTGAATCCTTGCACGCTGTAACCTCTTTGTTCATTACCTCGTTAGCAGAGGTTAATTTCCCGATTTCATCCGTAAGTTCCTTGATATTCTTCCCTGCGTTGTCAATATCCAACTCTGTCTTCTGAAGTTCTAAATAGTAATTTTCTAAACCCAGATTTGATTCTCTCAGCGCTGTCTCTACAGACTCTATTTCTTTTGCTAGCTTGTTTACCGACTGCCTTTTAATATGAATATATCCCAGCAAGGCCATGATCAAAACTATGGTTAAACACAGGATCAGGGGCAAGGATGACCTCTTCTCCATGGCTATATGTATGTCTAATAGATTTTTTTTTTAAACCAATAAATAGAGGTTGATAATGAGGTTTGATTATATATTTATATATATAAATATATATATATATATATATATATATATCAGTTATGTATATAATCCTTTAGATGTCTTCAGTCGAAGTAACATGCATGTATATGATGAATATGGCTGTTTGATCTCTAAAATAAAATACAGAGAAACAGAGAAAAAAATTACAAATACATTTTTAAAAACAATGATTTTACAGTTATAATGGCATTTAAAATAACAATTAATATTATACACTTTAAAAAAAATAATGAAGTTACACTCATAACAATGAGTCTTTTTTGACACCAACAATCAATTTACAGTCATAATTCACATTTACTAAAAATTATTAAAAATTAAATTCAAGTGTGATGTGAGGTATGCCTATATATAACCTTACCATATTTTGTTTACAACTCTGCTGAAAAAAAAATGACCAGCAATGAAGCTTATAGGCTGGCAGGCAGTAGATTTGCTAAACCTCTCCCAGACTTGCTAAACTTGCTAGTTTTTGCTGTCTAAGTTGGTCTTTAAGTAGCCAACCACAAATAAAACAGAAAACAGAAGACCATATACGCTATATGTTTCCTGCCATCTGGAGCACGCTCCATTCAAAACGTTTGAATGCAAAAACATTGAAATGCAGTCCTGGTGTGAGTTATTAACTTGTAGTAGTATAATATTTTGTGATTATTTGACATAGCCTACATTAGAAGCTTATTGCATAGCTATTTCAGCTCTACAGGCTACAATAATCAGAATGTCATTCAGATGAGTGGAATGAAACTCACCTTCGCCGAGAGCAGGACCACACACAGCAGGACGCACATTGAGTATCGTAAGGTTGGTTGGGAGTGGACAGATATTAAAATGGCGCTCACTGAATACAAGAAAGCGCTTTACAGTTAGGTAGCCTAAACCCACATAGTCAAGCGCTATGTAAATGCCGTATTCATTCATACATTCAAAAGAATCATAAACAGAAAATACCAAGAGTAAAATAATATTATCTCGGACTGTACACTTATCTTACACTTGTATCGCGATCTTTCCTTCCCTCTTAGTCATTCAGTTGTGAGTGACCAGTCGGACCAGTTAAGCAACAAATATGCTTTTATAGTTTTATATTTCTTGCAATGACAAAAGTGACCCATTTGTAAAATGAAATTGGTTTCTCACAACCAAAGCACTTTATTTGACAGTCCTGTTCATACGTATACCATATTATAATTGCAAAAAGTTAACTTATATAGCCTATTACCCATAGATAAGTAGGCTATGCTGTAACATGTAATTGCATACTATAAAATAAAGCGCATCTCTATTTTCCTAATAAAATATATAATTGCATAATGTGTTTTTTTTTTACATTCTGAAAATTAAAAAGCACATAGTAAAGCCTACACGTTTTTTTATTGTAGTTTTCTGTTCATTCATATACGTTTCTAAATCCTTTAAAATAGCTTTGAGTATCAAGGAAGTATCAAGTTTGTTTTGAGAGACCAGTCTAGCCTATCCTGCCTCCACCAATGGCGTGATTTGTGGGCGTGGCTATCTATGAATGTTTTTTTTTTTTTTGCAATTTCTTTTGGGTGGCGCTGCTGCAGAAATGAGGCTAGCTAACCAACCTGCTACAGTTTTTTTTTTACTTCAATTAAAATAAATGTTAATTCCGAAATAAACTGTAAAGTTGTGTAAAGTTAAAAATTAGGCCTATATATGATATTGTTGTGTCTTTTGCACCCTGATACGGTGTTATTAACCCTGATTCCTATATTTGTCAATGTTTCCATTCCTGAGGGACATAAACATTCTGGAACACAGTTCTGGTACCTGAATGCTTGGGCATTTTGTCTGTTGTAATATTCTAAGAAACACATCACATTCTTTGTTCTTCTCTTACCTGGTATGTAATGTACACTGTGCCACACCCTTTTCTTTTCTTTTTACTGACATAATCACCTGCAGCCAAAATACATTTACTGAAAGGTTTGTGCGATAGTCTAGACTTCATTTAAAGAACAAGCTGCTTTCCAGCTGATAATCTAAGTGTGATCAACCTTTGAGAATTAACTTTCCTGTAAAGATGGAAAACTTCAATTGCTTTCTCTCTCATGTCATTCGTTAGTGTCTATTGCAATGTTATGGTAATTGTTTAATATCCATATAAAGTCAGTAAATAATAACTATTTTGGGTAATCTGTTCCTAAAATGGCAGCAACTAGTACTTATTTCTAATTTCAGGCGACAGAGACTCTCCTGTAACAATGACGTTTACGTTCAACTGTCTGGAAATGTTCACCATAAAGCATAAAGGTTTACAATATTCCACTCTATCAGTTGCAGATGGCAGACATACCAAACCTGCAGAAATTAAATAAATACATATTCATAAATAAATGTAATAATAACAAAATAAATAAAGGACTACATTTATTGATGAAACAAATATAGTTCATTTTTATTTTTGTATTACTTGTATTAAATTTATTTTTGTATTACTTTTCCCCTTCATTTATTGTTATTATTATATATTGTTTAATGTATTTCTATACTTTAAAAAAAAAAATTCCTACATTCATTTATTTCCAAATTAATTAATTTATACATTGTTTTTCACAGATTCACATTATGGCGAATAATTTTGTAGCAAGTGTCCACGTTTTTTAATATTTAAGAAATATTGAAGTCTTTATTTCTGAGGTGAAATCAAGTGTTCCTGATTTAATAGCACATTGGTGTTAAACACAGAAATGAAATAATGATTATCATGATCCATAGATTAAAATATCACTGTTAAAGATCTCATTCCAAAACAATTGAGAAAAACAAAATATGGTTTCTTCTGGAAACTACAGTGCAGAAAAAAGAGGCGTTAAACAAACCGATATACAACCTAACCCAAAAGTCCAGCACCTCATTGCAGTACACAAGATCCAGGGGGCGGAGTTGGATCCAGATCAAAGGGGTGGAGATGGGTAGGGTTAGGGGTGTGGTTAGGGATCAGGGGGTGGAGATGGGAATGTTTATTTGTAGGTGGGAGGAGTTGGATCCCCCTGGATTTCGTGATCTGCAGTGAAAGTCACAATATTGCACCACTAGATGGGCACATGAATCCCACCACCCATCTTGTGGGATCATATAATGCTCGTTCTGTGTGCAGAGTCATTACAAGGTTAACCGCCTCTTTTTTCGGCACTGTAGTTTTCAGAAGAAACCATATTTTGTTTTCCTCAAATGTTCCACAATTAAATTGGAGGTAAAAAGTGAAATAAGAATAGCCTATATATAATATAAATATAATGTTTATATAGGCCTAATTTAAAATATAGTCAGTACTTGATATTTATATATTATTTTCTATATATCTATATTCAGTGTATTTTATCTGATTTATTTATTTTACAATCTATCAAACAGCCAATTAGGTACATTAAAAGGCATGTTCTAAACAGATATTCAACTTAATTAACAAGAAAGATATTTGAATATCTATAAAAGGCCTATAATATAATGAAACCTTTGAATGTTTTCAATACAATTTAGTACTGTAAAGAATTAGAATGAGGTTCATTTCTGTAACCTCCTCAGAACTCCATGTTAAAATATATGCATATTCCTTAGTCACTTAACTATTGTCATTTAAAGGGATACTCCACTTTTTTTTTGGAAATAGGCTCATTCTACCTCTCCCCCAGAGTTAAACCAAGTCAATGAGACCAGAAACTGTCTGGTTACTGATATTCTTCTAAATATCATAAAATCGGTTGAATGGATTTGAAAACGGTAAAACCAAACTGTTTAACTCTGGGGGAGAGCCTATTTACAAAAAAAGTGGAGTATATCTTTAACTTAGGCCTAAAATATTTAGCCAACAGAGCTAATTTAATTTGAATTTGTTTTCAGTCTAGGTTAATAGGAAGATATTTATTGTTTGGATGCATGAGAAGGCCGTGAATTACTAAACTTTTTGTATTTAGTGTTATCCCAATCAGTATCCAGCATTTTTATTCAGAGAAACATAAATAAGCATGCACTGTGTTTTGGAATATGTGTATCACTGAAGATAACTCTAATGTGATTTTGTTTGGTTATGCTTCTATTTAGGTTTCCTACTGCTGATATGATTCATTTTGTGACAAGTTAACAACTAACAACTTTCTAATGGAAGCCCTGGTAATACCTCAGCAAAATCGAAGAACAAACGACAATTTTAAAGTTTTGTGTTTGTTTCCGGAGTTCGAAACAGTTTGCCAAAGTGAACTTTCTGGAAATGTTGGCTCTGGCATGTAAACACCTACCATTGGTCTGTGGCGATTGCGTAATAGGTGCTCTGAGGCTCCGCCTTCTTTGATATGGAAATCTTGTAATGCAGCTTTGACTGTCGGGAAGAAGCCTGCTGCAGTTTTTGCTCGTTGTGGGTTCTGCAAAAGTATGCAACAAATCGGCTGCAAAGGACAAATGAGACACCCTTGTGGACTCGCGCATGCGGCGGCCATTGTAAGTCCACAAGACTGCAAGCTCACACAAGGGGTGCTTCTTAATCAGAAGGCTACGTCATAGGAAGGCTTCATATCTCGACTGCCATGTCAACAAGCTCCGTCAAAGGATGTCTGAAAGATGTCTGGAGGAAAGTTTGAAGGATCCTTGGAAGGCAGCCTTCATTTCACGTCCTTCATTCAGCTCATTTTGAAGGATGCATCAAGTGTATCCGTCACCTCCTTCAATAACACACAATTAAGAGTTCATTATGGCATGGATTTTGGAGATGAAGGCCTGATGCTTTCTATTGTTTTGTTGTGAATTAATCACATGATGCTGAACTATGCGCAGTGTCAACCACTGGGAGACCACAGACAGTTGTCATTCCCTATACTGCATTAATAGAAAGGCATGATATGAAGGGATACTTTATCACCCCAATCCAACCCCCCCTATCATCATGGTTTATATTTCCCCAAGACTAAGATATAAAAACACCAGGACTTTGTCAACACCGCAAAATATCTAATCCGTGTTCTGGCATGGATGTCAGGAATATTCTTGTAACATCTGTGAACTTTGATGAACTTTTGCTGCTCAGATTTGTACGTACTGTTCGTAACGTCACAATATTATTTGACCTTCCAGTCGTCAATCTACCTCTTTAAATAAGCACTGACAGTCCAACTTGGTATGGCTTGCAAAATGCATAAATATTCATTAATTAATCATAAATTGCAGCAATTCAGGAATATTGACTTGCTAGCAAATAGATGCACACATTTGTGGTAACCCCTAACCCATTAACCAACCAATGTCACTGCGTAAGAGACATTCTGACACAAAGGGTCTATTAAAAGGACGTATTCTTGCAAGAATAGGTTCAGTCTGACACACAGAAGTTACGCTGTGCATGAGAGTGACACAGCCCCAGGAACACATGCGACAGCTTTTATACTCTTTTCAAGGTTGAAGGTTCTTCCTTATAAGTTGGCTCCAGATAAGGTCCATTCGGCTGTTCAGCTTCAAGGACAGAGCTGACACTGAAACAAACTGGCCAACTCTGACCGTCCTTAAGGTCAGAGATCCTGTCCCATAAATCCCCAAAAATCACTCACAAGCACATATTTACTCATTGAATAGGTTCAATAGAAGATTACAATTTCCACAACACTCCCAAGCAAGAGGAAGGCACATTTACCCTCCGATGCAACTGCAGCCATACTTCCCTTCAGCCAAGCCATCACTGGAAAGCCTCAATGCCGTGTCTACATGGAAATTGCCGTCCTAAATTTCCTACCAGCCCCATCTCATCTTCACATTGCGGATATTTTTATCAAGCAGGAAATGCAGTAAAAGCGTAGTTCAGTGAGTGCTGCCAGAAAGGTGTGTTTTATGGATGGGAGCACCAAACAGGCAGTGAGTACAGACTGAGAACAGGTATACTGTAGGCTGTTTTCCATATTTTCATTGTTTTTGCAGTGGGAAACTGCTATGTTCCTTTTCTGTTTTGAGGAGAACTCCAGCATGACCTTGGTCCATTAGTGCTGTAAGAAGCAGGGAGAAGAATGATGGAACTGCTTTGAAAGTCCTTCCAACCCTCTTCTACAATATCACCTGATAGGATTTTCAACTGGGACCCCAACACCTGTTAAAGGTCAAGATGCAAAATAATTATTTCTTATAAATTCTTATACATCATAACTGCCTTCTTTTTTCTTGAAGGAACGCTCTGATTTTTTGGACTTTAGCTTATTCAGCATATCCCCCAGAGTTGGATAAGTCCATACATACCTTTTTCATCTCTGTGCGTGCCGTAACTCTATCTGACGCACTCACCGCTAGCCTAGCTTAGCATAAAGACTGTATGTAAATGGCTACAGCTAGCATAATCCCAATAAGAGACAAAATAATGCAAAATTTTTCCTATTTACATGTTGTGATTTGCATAGTCACAGAGTGTACAAAAAACAAGGTAATTTGAGACACACTGCTACGGTGCGTCTCAGGTGCTGCGGTAATCACTCAGCCCAAGTAGCAGTGCTGCCTTCTGAGAATATAGTTCCTAATATTTATATGGTTAAAAGATGGCTGTGTTTCATATGACCTTGTGATTTGTACACTCTGTGACTATACAAATCACAACAAGTAAATAGGAAAATGTTTATGTTATTTTGTCACTTATTAGGATTGGTATGCTAGCTGTAGCCATTTACATCCAGTCTTTGTGCTAAGCTAGGCTAGTGGTGGGTGCGTCAAACAGAGTTACAGCACGCACAGAAATGAAAAAGGTATTTAAGGATTTATCTAACTCTGGGGGGATACAGTGAATAAGCTAAAGTCCAAAAAAGTCAGGGTGTTCCTTTAAAATATCAAAATATCAATATATAACATCATGTTATAATGACAAAGACACTGACAAGTTATGACGTATTGGTTTATTTCAAGGTGTCATTACCAAGACATTTCAAACAACGTCATATTTGCATTAAAAATGTCATAATCGAGCAAATGACACTTATAAACATGCACGAAACCTCCTTCATAATCATGACGTCATGTGTCGACATGACGTCATGAAGGTGTCATGTCAGTCTTATGCACACCCCTTCAAGTAAAGTGTTACCAGCATTTCTTTCATATTTGTTCACAACTGTGAAATAATCAAATGGGATTTCACAAACTTGCACTGTTTCGGTACCGTCATTTCTTAGAACTCCCTGCTAAAATTGGTATTTTTCTTGCTTTGTTCAGCAGCCAGAAGTGGGATACATCAAGATATTTGATGTTTTTCTCAATGCAACTCCTCAAGCATGACATTTCACATTATTACCCGCAGAACTGACTGGTTTGCAGGTCATGGGAGTATTTCTCTCATGTACTTGAGCAATCCATTTTAATTAGAAAAAAAAGATAAGAAGATATTTCTGTGAATCATGATCTATTTTTGCCAACGAATTTATGCTTAGAAAAAGATTTCTGGTAGCTGACATGTTAAATTTATGTGCTGTTAACAGCTTAAAATACGGGAAACATGCTGAATCAGAATGTCAGATGGGGGTGACCCATTCCAAATGTTGTCCGATATATGGTGACTCAAGCACTGATGGACCAAAGAGTGCACATTTCGACATTTAAAAACTTGAAGTATAAAATTCTCCTAAAAAGTCCATTGGAAAAATATCAGTCCACATGCCATTCATATTTAATATGAGGGAAATAGACATGCATGCGTGACACAAAAAAATCTTTAACTTTTAGGTAGCTAAATATTTTTTTAGTAATTCTCTCAATTACACTAAGGTTATTTAATTGAAGGAAAATTGGAGCGGCCACACTGAGCTGTGCATAACGCCCACAGACGTGAAGTGAACGAGACAGATGCTGTCTGGTACTGTCTGAAAAGGTTAACTCTGTGGCGATGCATGTGCAAAACAGATTTAAGTAATCATAAAGTCAATCAGGATACAAAACACAGCCTACTATTGGTCTACACTAAAAAGGCTCACAGGAGTATAGCCTAAATATGAGGAAACAGTAAACACAAAGGCCAAATTCCCTTTAACATCCGTCACAATGATTAAAACAAAATGATGTGCATCATAAGATTGTTGAGCTTCACAAACTATAAGTGCTGTAAGTAAATGGCTAAATCACTGGAGATAATTAAGAAGTTCCAATCAACCAAAGATGTTATGAATCTGCCTGGAAGACGATGTGATATTTTCACGGTGCAGGAGGAAAGTTCGAGTGGCCAAAGACTTTTCAAGGATCACAGATGGAGAATTGCAGTTGAGTCTTGAGGTCAGAAAGCCTAAAAAGAAAGAAAGAAAGAAAGAAAAAAGAATCAAACAGCACCTACATTACCATTTGATATTTGGGAGGGTGTCAATAAAAACCTGTAGAATATAACTGTAGAATATTCAGTTGTCAGAAACGACTGGAACTTCAATAGAGACCAGATTCTATGGTCAGATGAAACTAAAAAAAAGAGCTTAATGGCAGCAAACCTTCCAGATGGGTGCAAAAGGGGATAAAAAGTGGCGCATGTGCAGACCGAAGCGCCCGTGCCATCAGATCATAGCTGTCAACCCTCCCGTTTTTTCCGGGTTTCTCACGTATTTTTACTCTTTTCCCGCTGTCTTCCCGTTTTAGTATTTTCCCGTAAAATATCCCGTATTTTTACTCTGATTGTGTGAGACGTACGAGCTCGGACTGACTCGGCTTGAAGTCGTTTATTCTCAGATGCGGCGCGCTGGCCGGAGTGTGGCGTGTCCGTTTTTATTTCGGCTCCCATGTTAACAGATTAGAGCTTGCACACTCCAGAAAACGCGTGCATGCTAGAAATAGAACTGACGCCTATTTTTTCACGCGACACGCAAGCGTGTTGAAAGCGTTTCCAGGCAAAAAAAATAAATAAATAAAAAAATAGGAAACGATGTTTATATGTCATTTTGTACTCGAATAGCCTACATTTTACATTTTCATGTTTGAAAGTCAAGGTTTTTATATAAATTCAGATATCAATCTAATTTAAACAAATAATAATTATAATAATCGATTTATATTGCCATTTGTTTTGCCTATATATAATTTAATGTCATGTAACATATGAATAAAATATCTTTTCTTTTTTTTTTTTTCATTTGTTTCTTATGCTCTTAACAATGATTACACAAAGAAGAAGAAAAAACTTTTGAAAAAAATAGTTCTGGGCCTCAGGAGGATATAAAGATGGGATAGGCTACAATAACAACAGAGTGTGTCTTCTGGGTCCACCACCAGGCTAAATATAGGCTCTTTAAAACTACATAAAATGTGTAAATGTAATTGAAATAAACAGACAGCCCACTTCCCTATTTTGTGGGTTTTGGAAGATGTGATAACAGTTGAAATTGTTGTCGTAAAGGCAAGAGCAACACACCGCTAATCCAAATGTAGATTTTTCTTTTCTTTAAATGACACTAGTTTCTAGGCTAGTTATTAACTCTTTAGACTTTTAAGGATTAGTGCTTTAATTTTGAAGTTTGTGGGTAAGAATCGTGTAAAAAAAAATCCCTTATTTTGGGGAAGGATTACGGGAAAACTCCCTTATTTTCAATGTTCAATGTTGACAGCTATGCATCAGATCAGTTGTACATGGCTGTGGTTACATGAGGTAAAAACTAAATAAATACTGTTCGTTTTCTCACACAAACCGCTCGTTTCGTGACTTAGGCCATCAATGTGTACTTACATTTACGAGTATTTTAATCATGTTTAATTTGATTTCTCTGTGCATGCTCTTTGAGGTGAACCGAGGTAGGACCCCCTAAACCTCCATTATATGACTGATAGACAACAACGGTTTGACCGAAAAATATCAAAATTGAAAACAATGTGGAAACAAAGACACCTACATCTTGGATGCCCTTGAGGTAAGCTAATTTCAAAGTGAACAATCCCTTTAAAGCCGCACTCCGCAGTTTTCCCTCTTTGTCGCCATCTCTGTTTGAAATCTGCAATTGCAGTCATTCGCAAAATTATTAACTCTACGTGAGTTGTTGGACTCTGCACAGCACGGATGAACACAATGTTTGAGGAGAGTGTGCAGCTGTCAGTCACCGTGCCGGTGTGGATACTGGCATTCACAATCACAGATTATTATTTTTGGAGATTTGACCAACATAATAATTTTCACCAGAAAATGTCATCCGAACAAGTAAGAAACATTAACTTTTTCTTTTTTCATCCACTTTCTGACATTTCAGTAAATCGCGCAGATTAAATAAACAAAATCACTTACAGTATCATACGCAATCCTTGCAAAATATACTTTGTTCTCAAACTGTTAATGATAACAACATCAGCAGTTAATATCCTTCCGATATATGCATGCCTTGTTTGCGCATGGGTTCGGTTGCCGCCTTTTTTTCTGTTGCCACTCCGTTTTCACTGGTGATTGTCGTTTGAACCTTTCTCGATGCCGCCATCAAATTGATGAGTTTAATTATATCAGGTGCCGAAAAGGCTATAAATCTCCTAGCCTACTAGCTGAGACTCCTTCTTTAAGTGTACCGATGTGATGTAATGACGCAAAGACATGCTTGAATATTCCGCAGAAATCCACCAGTAGGCTACCACTGGAATTAAAAACATTATTACAAGTTTACCGTTTTGAAACGAGCTACGGCAAGCAGATAGTTTTGAACACTGGGTAAATATATATTTTGGATAATTGTTAACGACTGCAGTTTTAATAAAAGGGTGCCAATAATTATGGCCAACATTCTTTGGAGAAAAAACATTTATATTTACCCCCCTCTATTACTTTCAATGAAAGTTTATATTTTTGCGAATTTTTTTCATGAAAGATCAAACGGATAAACAATGCAGATTTATGTTTACAGCCATCTTTGATTATATTTACCTGGGTTGCCAATAATTTTGACCAAAACTGTTGAATTCACAAAATCTGTTGAATTCAAAAAAATTATTGAATTCACTGAAGCTTTAGTGAACTTAGCAGAACTAGCCATTCTTATCTTGACTACCCACTGCTTTGACTTTGAATTCATATTATGGGGGAGTTTAATTAAAGACAGATAACTGTTGGCCCATATCTTCATCAAAGTTTGCTGACCCATGCACCAACTTTGGCCCGCCTTTCATTCTCCTTCCAATGCCTTTAAAAGCCTTGCAATCTTTTAAAACTTCCATCAGACCTGAAGAAAACAGTGCACATTTGCGAACTGAAAAGAAGGATATTTTTACTGCAGAAATTAACCAGTCATGTTTTGGAAAAGCACACTTGTTGTGACTACTTTGATTCTTCATCTAATTTCATTGGGAGGTAAGTGCCTTATCTACAAAACTTTATTCTATTTATTGTCTTCTTATTTTAGAGCAAAAAAAAAGAAAAAAAGAAGAAGCCTTAATAGTATCTTCTAAATAAATAAATGTAAATGTATGTATTTGTCTAATAGATATGTTTCATTCTCTGTTATACTTTCTTATTAATACATTTAAGATGGACCTTGATGAAAAAAAGGTTACTTTTATGAATAATATTAATATCTTGTCCTTCATCAACTTCCGCTACTTGATTTTTTTGGTCCTTCTGCTATTTAGTGGGACAAAAATTGTACCCTGAGGTGCTGCTGGAATCAAACTTTCCTCCAGCCAGACCTTCGTATTACAATCTCAAGGCAATCTGTTATTATGGCAATGGCCGCCCCAGATTCCCGGACTCCATTTTCCCTTCATCTGGTTATGCTTACGCTCGTCGTGCTGGAAATGCAGTAAACAGACTAGAGACATGGTTCAGTTGGTGCTGCTATAGAGGTTCAGCTTATGTAAATGAACAGACCCTTTGCTGTGCGAAACAGGCAGTGAGTACACAGAATGAGAAACATAATGTAACTTTACTATTTATATTTTGCTGAACAGAAAAATAATTGCGTTTCCCCCCTTGTTTTCGCAGTGGAAAACTGCTTTGTCCCAATTCTGTATTGAAGAGTACTCCACCATGACCTTGGTCCATGAGTGCTGTGAAAAGAAGAAAGAAGAAAGGTGGAACTGCTTTCAAAAAAAGGCTGCCAACCCCTTCTACCGACCCCTTTCTCGTTACAGGGCCCCCATGATATCACCTAAAGGGAGTTTCAGATGGGACCCCAACACCTGTTAAAGGTCAAGATGCTAAATGACAACCTGAGCATTTTTTTTTGATTTAGCAGCACAAAACCTGTGTCAATAGAGCCACATCATTTTCAAGTAAATTAAACATGCAATTTATTTATCTCCACATGTATTATTGTATACAGAAAACATGCTAAATACAATGTGCAGCAGCTTGCTGTCACTCAATGTATTTCCAAAGTTGTAAAAAGATTCAAATAAATCTGAAGCCTTTTCATTGTTTAACCTTGATTTTTCGCATCTCCATATCTTTCACATCCGCATTTTATAAATCATATCCACATATGATAAATGTATTTGGGATCACAAATCATAAAGGTATATCAGCTGCCATTCAATCTAATTTCTAAGGGAAAATTGTAAATGTTTGCAGTTTAGTGAAATATTATATTTTAAAAGAATAAACTTGTTTTTTTTTTTTTTTTTAAAGAAATGGTAACCTTCAATTGTTAAAATGGTGTTTCAGCATCTTGATAATTGGTCTATACCTTATTTAGTGACATTATATTATATTATTATCTTCCATAGAGCTTCTTTACTGCTAAAATTGAAGTCGTTTCATAAGTGGATTTTACAACAGTAACACTGTTATTTCTCTGTTTGAAACAAACAAAAAAGTTTTATATAGGCTATAACTGGACTTTCAATTACTTCCATAAAAATAGTCTTATATGGCAAAGGCAAACTTCAGTGCATTTTCAGCTCTGTCAAAGCTTTATGCTGTAAGGTTGTAGGCCTATGATTTGTATTAGCGTAGATGTAATTTTTTGTGAACAATTTTTTGCCTTTTTAAGAACATATTATTAAAGTAAAAAAAGACACTCGACGCTGTTACATGCCCCTCGTGACAGCTTTAATTTCAATTACTTTTTGTTTCAAACCTGTATGGATTTCTTTCTTCAGATGAACACAAAGGAAGACATTTTGGTAGCATTATATGGAAGTCAACGAGGTCCACCTGTTTGGTAAAACAACATTCTTTAAAATATCTTCAACGAAGATATTTATATGTTCGAAACAACTTGGGGGTGAATAAATAATGACAGAATTTTATTTTTTCAGTGAACTTTTTTTTTTAGTTTATAAATGACCAAATTTCCGACTCCTCCTCGGGCTCGGGGAAAATGTAAAAGGTTTTGCATGTAGTGGCTCAACTGGCAATTATCAGTCGAGCGCCCCCTGCAGAAAACTGATTTGTCCAAGAACGTGCCCACAGACAGGATGAGCAGGACCGGGGCAGGACCACGAGCAGGACCACGCTGCGCAACAACGTCACTTCCGCAAATTGGGAGGAGGCTCGAGAGGAGCGAAGACGCTTCCGTGCTATTAAGCGGGTTATTTACTTCGGAATTCGGGTGGACCCAGTAAAGTAATAACAACAACAACAATTTCGTGTACTTCAGAGATTCGCACGAGACATCGAGCCGTTCTGCCAACATAAACAGAAGTTTAACTATTACGTTGTTTTTGATTCTTGAGTAAAAAACGAAGAGATTAAGTTGAGGTAAGCACTCTTACCTGTTGTTGTTGTTGTTGGTCTCTAGCCATTAAGCCATTAGTATACAAGTAAGCAAACACAAACAAACACATTTATATAGCGAGTGTTTTTAAGTGGTAAAGTGAAAGTATGACAGGTTACCACCACACTCCTTCAGTAACGTTACCTATCACGGGGAAATACTGCCACACTAAGTTAAGAAACTTTTTGTAACCTTACATCAGTTAGTTTCCTTCAGGTTTGGGTTGACTAACAGACTTTATTTGGACAGTGTGATCTTTCAGGGCTGTGAGTGTTGCATAAACCACAAGTGAAAACAAGCAGGACCATATGAAACTTCCGCCAGAAAATGGCTACGCCGGCTGTAGTTTCCACGGATGGAGCGAGCTCCAGTAAGAAAGCATTTTATTTCCTCTGGCTGTTCATGAACATGTTTATGACACATTAGTGTAACGTAGATTAAGCTGTTTTACTGTGCTTTCGCTTCAAAGAATGATCTCACGTATAGTAAATTAGTCGTGTGTTTTCCTATAGTAAGTAATGTGTAGTTGGGTGCTTTTGAGCACACGTGGAACAATCACCACTGTATAATATTACACTGAACTGTACATAACACAGACACACACATATATTGGAAAAACATTAAAATATTTAATGCTTTTGAAAGCAGTCTCTTATTCTCATCAAGCCTAATTTATTTGATCAAAATACGGAAGAAAACCTGTAATATTGTGACATTTTATTTCAATGGTTTTCTAGTTTAATACACTTTAAAAGCTGGATTTACAAAAGCCATTACTGATGTAGTCTTCAGTGTCACATGATCCTTCAGGAATCATTTTAACATGCTGATTTGATACTCTGTTATTATCATGTTGGAAACATTTGTGCTGCTTAATATATTTTTGGAAACTGTGATACTTTTTCAGGATTCTTTGATGAACAAAAAGTTAAAAGAACATCATTTATTCAAAAAAGAAGACTGGATCTTAAATGGCTGATGAAAATTAAGCTTTGCATCACAGGAATAAATGATGTTTTAAACTTTTTTTATTGTAATAATATTTCACAATATTATTGTATTTTCCGTGTTTTTGATCAAATAAATGTGGGCTTGATTGATGAGCATAAGATACTTCTTTCAAAAACATTTAAAATAAATAGCAAGTAATAGTTTTTTATTTTTTATTATTTTCTAAAAATAATATGGAATAGTCAAATTTGCCATTTTTGGGTTATCAGCATTACATCAAATGAATGAGCTAATTCACCCTAGAAATTGTAGTTTATTTGCTGGCAGGATGTTGTTCATTATTCTATTTTTTTATTCCCCTTCAATTCCCCTTCACATAATTGTTTTTATAATTTGCAGCTATTCAATATCTCTTATAATAGCGTTTATTGGCACATATAAATGTGTACTATGGTGCTGAGCTCGGATAAGTGATGACTGCTTTCTAACAAAATTAGATATGAAAATGGACTGTTAAAGTGGTAACATTAGTGGTAGTAGAATTCAAAATGTTTGTTTTGTTTCTTTAATCACTGTTGTCACTCTTCAGATGTCTTTATTTTGGATGTTATTCCAGCCGAAAGGTACATGCATATGTGTGTAAAAGCAAAGCACATGTGTGGCTGTGTTTGCATATGATTTCTAATTTGAATATTAGTGTTGTAGACGGTCTGCAGTAGGCCCATGGCTGCTTGGGTTGTGCTTGTCTTTATTTTAATCGTAGTGCCACCTCAGACAGACTCAGCTGGTGTGATTGGGTTACAGTGTTTTCTTGGAGGAACAAAGGAATTGAAACCCAGGTGTCTGTGTGCATGCTGCATGTTTACACTCACAGTTGTGGTTAACGACACATCTCAAGTCTGAACCGCTATTTAGCATTCGTATTTGCATTTTGTTTTGCATTTTATTTGTAGTTTAGCTTTTCACACAAAAGCGAATTCTAATCACTTCAGTGTCTGGTTAGGATACCAGTGCACAGGGAAAATGTGAAGTCTAAGGAGAAAGTCTCATGCTTCACATATTTGAACTTGAAGTATGAGCTCTGCCTTTTCCTTGGCAAGAATCTTATAGTTTATTATAATTCAACTAGCTGTAATGCCTAATGGCTTTTTTTCACTAGTCATTTTCACAGAGAAGTTTTTATTTTCCTACTATAGGTGTTCCTGGAAATCGAAAGATGGCTTCTTCAGAGGTAATTATATGCTTTTTTTTTGTTGTTGTTGCTTTAATAATTTCATATTCGCATTCCACTATTTTGTGGTTGTTATTATAAACTTCAGGATTGATTTATAGCTCTATACTAGGGTTGTCCTGTCACTGTTCCAAAATTCCAGGAGTCGGTACCAATTCCAGAAAAATGTCATGGTTTTCTCTTATTTGTACCAATTTTGAGACCATTGTAAAACTAATTTACTGTTTTAGTGAACTATTTGAAAATATAAATGAATTATTGTCTTCTAATGTTTATAACTAATCATAGTTTATAAAAAGATCAAGTGAGAAATGTGTAATACAATGGACAAAGAAACACAGAACATGTAGTGCATATATTTTGACACACAGTATCAGATTTTTCTTTCCTGTCTGTTGCAATGGTTATAAAATTGTTAGTATTGCAGTTACAGATTCAATCTGGCGTTACAGTTGTAAATCCAGAAACTTAGTTTACATTGCAGTGTACTGAGCAGCATGAAAAACAAAGCTTTTCTTCAACTTGTTTATGGGTTTGATGCAAGCTAAGGGCGCTAACTTTGTAATCACTAAAGCTGCCAATCACTTTACAGAAAAATCTCCCTGTAAAATCACGAGAAGTGCAACATTCTAATTGATTCAAAGTGATGTAAATAAATTATTAATGCTTTAAATATAAATGGTGTTAAGATGTGTTTATTGAGCAGTCATTATCTTTCAGGGTCTGAGCATGTCCAGCTCATCCCAGACGAACAAAAAGACCTTGGGCCACCGAGGAATTGACCCTACTGGGGAGACGACGTATAAAAAGGTTTGAGCTGTGTGTTTTTGATATCGTGTAAATATTTCAAAATAGATGTTTGTTGGAGATGAGACCAGATCAAAAGTCAGATCAGCAGTCCAACTTCCAATCTCAGTTTAATGACACGCATTCCTACATCTGTCATATCTACATAGATCATAATTGTGTTATCTGTTGTTTGTGTGGCCCAATGACAGCCAAGTAAATGGTATGAACATGCACATACAGATAAAACTAGCGGGCCTTGTGTTATTGCTCCTCCCTTTCAGTTTTATTAAATCGCATGCAAAGACCCATGCATTAGTGCTGTGTTTCTGTGTCGTCACAGATTAACCGTCTTGTATTTTTATGTACTAAGGCCCATTTACACCAAAACTCACTGTGTAGGACTCATCACTTGCATTGGGAGCTTCTCCTACATTCCTGCTGGAACCTGCAGCATATCTGCCAACCTCGAGTCATGGGGGAACGGGGGATACACCCTAATTTGAAAGTGATTAGTACCAGCAGTACCAGTTTTGGCCACAATCTTGTTTACAGCTCCTTTAAACTGATGGCAACATAGTTCTAAAAATCATTCTTAATAAAAAGAATAGTAGAGTCCACACCACAACTATAACGGCACAGAGAAACAATATCACGGGAAACACTTTCAGAACCATTTTTTTTTTCCAGCTGATGAACGATGATAACCTTTTAGTTATCATTCTTTGTGTGATTGTGAACGGGCCTTAAAGGGTTAGTTCACCCAAAAATGAAAATTCTGTCAGTATTTACTCGCCCTCATGTTGTTCCAAGTTCCAACCCTGTAAGACCTTCGTTCATCTTCAGAACACAAATTGATATTTTTGATGAAATCTGAGAGATGGATCACAGTCCTGCATACTAGTCCATAGGCTTCTTGAGGGATTGAAACTTGCTGGCCTCGAAAAGTTATTAAAGACATCATTAAAATAGTCCAAGTGACTACAGTGGCTCAATCTTAACTTTATCAAATGACGAGAACACTTTTTGTGCACAAAAACACACAAAAACAACGATTTTATTTCAACTATTCATTTACTTCTCTCTCTGCCTCAAGTCAGGTTACTAGTTTAATAATGTAAGCTTCTGTTATTGTATGTCACACGCATCACACACATAACCAGCGTCGGCCAGTGAATAGTTGAATATTCCAGAGAAGGAAGTGAATAGTTGAAATAAAGTCGTTATTTTTGTTTGATTTTGCACACAAAAAGTATTCTCGTCGCTTGATAAACTTAAGATTGAGCCACTGAAGTCACTTGGACTATTTTAACAATGTATTTAATAACTCTTCGGGGACGGCAAGTTTTTAATTCCTCAAGAAGCCTATGGACTAGTATGCAGGAGTGATCCAGCTCTCAGATTTCATCAAAAATATCTTATTTATGTTCCGAAGATGAACTTACAGGGTTGGAACAACATGAGGGTGAGTAAATACTGACAGAATTTTCATTTTTGGGTAAACTATCCCTTTAACACATTAACATGTTCTTATTCAGCTCTTCATGTGCCCTCTGTTAAATCTTTAGACCACATCATCTGCCTTGAAAGGTGCCATTCAGCTGGGCATCACACACAGCGTAGGAAGCTTGAGCCAGAAGCCAGAAAGAGATGTGCTCATGCAGGACTTCGAAGTGGTAGAAAGCATCTTCTTTCCCAGGTGCGTTTGTATACGGGTCTGCATAAGAGTAGCCATGAGACGAAGGAACGTTTTGCTTTAGTAGTCGCGCATTGTGTACTTAAATGTGCTTTTATTTGTCTTCCTCTCAGTCAAGGCAGTAGCTCAACTCCAGGTCATCACCATGGTGACTTCAAGTTTAAAACTTATGCTCCCATTGCATTCCGCTACTTCAGAGAGATGTTTGGGATCCGACCTGACGACTACCTGGTAATCTTGTTTGTTCATTTCATTGTTCCCATGGTTTCCTGGAAATATATGGGAATTTTAAAATGGTCTGTTTTAGGCCTGTAATAGTCGTGTGTTTTTTTTGTGTGTGTTTTTTTACGGGAATCTTTTTGAATGACTACATAAACTCAACAGTAAAGAGTTAAACTTGCTTGCAAGACATTGTTGGTGGTTCTTTTTCAATTAATTTGTTAAAGAGGTTCATAAAATGGTCTGAATGGTTCATTATCACATCATTCTGAATCAAAACAATAAATAAATCGTTTTAACTGGAAAAGCCATAAAAAAATGAATGTAAGAAGAACGTCATCAATTAATTTCCATCTAAAAAGGTTGATCTGGTTTTGTCTTGTTCACTCCAAGATTTTTCTTAATGGGATTACATTATTATTGTTGCTCTTGCTTGATTACGATTTAATAAACAAAAGCTCATCTCAGTGTCACTCCAGTCACGTTATCTGCTGTGTGTGTGTTTTCTGCAGTATTCTCTTTGTAATGAACCTCTTATCGAGTTGTCTAACCCTGGAGCAAGCGGGTCTCTCTTCTACGTTTCTAGCGATGATGAGTTCATCATTAAGACGGTCCAACACAAAGAGGCAGAATTCTTGCAAACACTCCTTCCAGGTTACTTCATGGTAAGTGTATTTATTTTAGTGCTGTCAATCGATTTAAAAAAAAAAAACTAAAACTAATTCTAACACATTTTTCTGGAATTGATTGCGATTAATCACACATAACATTAAAGTTTTAAATATATTTTTATAATTTCAGATTTCTTCTTCCAATTAATGTAGAGATTAGATTGTTGTCTATGTTTAAAATATTTGTTTAATTGCATCTTTTTATGAAAGAAGGCATCACCGTTACCAATACTGCTACTGATGTCTCTATGAAATAGATTTTTTCCCCCTCAGTTTTAGCCATTAATTATAGCCATTCAGCATTACAGTATAACTGAAAGCTATACATTCTAACGTTTATTTGGCTTTAAAAAACGAAGGTCTAACAGTCTTCACTGCAGATATTATAAATTAAATCTAAATTAATACTTAAAGCGACAAAAGTTATTCAGTCAAGAGCAGTGAGTGATTTTCTTTTGTTTCCTTTGATCATCCTTAATTATGATTACTTTGATTATCCTTAATTCAGTCCCTCCAGAAAAACGCGATTATGCGATCGCTGAATTCAATGCAAAATCAGCCAAAGTCCACATATTTATGCGGGGGCCGCATTTTTTCAAATACGCCGCACTTTCGCCGCATAAATTGCCGATTTCCGTGCAAAATATGTGGGGTTTGCATAATTTCATAATCCTCGCATTTTCGTTGCAAAAAAGTCACATGTATCTTAGCAGAAAGTTGTAAAATGTTGCGTTTGCTTCACACAAGAGCAGCCATTTCCCCCCGTTTCCATGGGAACGTTATGAAGTGACGCAATTACGCGACGCCAGACAGACTCACGGAGGCGATTGACATCTCACAAATCGAACTCGTATAACGGTCTGTCACACGTTCTACCGTCACATCGTTACTTAATAAACAACATAATATAAAAGAAGTTGCATCAAACAGAAATTACCCGCACACATGGGGTGTTTGTGGCGCACATATAACACTGCAGAGAGTTCAACAGGGAGCGCGCAGCTCTTAAAGGGGCCACACCTTATTTACACTCGTTAAAGTCTGAAATAAAACAAGAGATAAGAAATTAAATATTCCCAGCACTTTCTATGATGTAGTATGCTTGCTTATCAAAGGAAGTAATAAGAAATGACTCTTACATTAGCCTAGTGAGAACAGGGTGTTGGGGGAATCACTTTTTTTTTCTCTTTTTTTTATCAAACCGCAATTTTGCAAGTTCCCTCAATTTTTGCAAATTCCTGCAATTTCATCCCATAAAATTGCATAAATATCCCGCATATTCTTTCCATCGCATTTTTAAAGAAAACGGGCCACGTAATCAAGGATTTTTGCCCGCAACAATCACAAAAAAACTCTGCGTTTTTCTGGAAGGACTGAATACTATTATGGTAAATGTTATATATAAATCGCAAATTTTTTCACAAATTTTTGGAAATTACCACCACAAAATCAGTCATTTTGATCGCAAAAATCAAAAAAAAATATCGTGAAATCCTGGAGGGACTGTTAATTCCTTTGATTATCCTTATTGCAGGGTTTCTTTTTATTCATTTATTAATATATAACCTTTCTTGTATGAAAGTACCATATGAAAAGTTAATGCAGGTTTTAAATTTGTTTGCAAGACATAAGGGCACAAATTTAGTAGAAAACGTGATGATTTCCTTGACCTTGTTGAAAAAAAGTTTCTTTTTTTAACATTACGTGATTTTACGCCACGAGAGGGATTTGTTGGCCGGGCTCTGCGTTTGCTCAGTGCAGAGTAGGTTGGTATTCAGTAGGAGCCGTGATTCAGTGTATTTTTCAGCTTTCTGTGCGAATGATGGTGGTCATATAATGTTACACTAGCCAAAGGATGACTTAAAAAAATGCTAAATTAAGTGCGTTAAATATTGTTAACGTAAAAAAAAATTATGTGTGTTAACGTGTTAATTCTAACAGCACTCGTCTATTTACTAAAACATTTTAAAATCTAAATTCATTCTTTTGTTGTTTGAACATTATAAGCATAGTACTTTCCTTCATATTTGTTTTCTAGAACCTGAACCAGAACATGCGTACGCTGCTTCCCAAGTTCTACGGTCTCTACTGCGTTCAGGCAGAGGGGAAGAACATCCGAATCGTAGTGATGAACAACCTACTGCCATGCGCTGTACCCATGCACCTTAAATTTGACCTGAAGGGCTCCACGCACAAGCGACGTGCTTCGCCGAAAGAAAAATCCAAGGGTGTGCCCACGTTCAAAGACCTAGACTTTATGCAGGACATGCCTGAGGGCATAATGCTGGAGAGTGACCACTACAACGCCCTCTGTAGGACCATTCAGAGAGACTGTCGGGTAAGGAGACAGAAGTTATATTTACATTTATGCATTTGGCATACACTTTTATTCAGAGCCACTTACAGTGCATTCAGGATATTCATTCCTTTCAACATAAATGACAAGTAAAGGAGATAGAATGTAATCAAGATTTTTTTTATGTTTAGCTTGTCAGTGAAGCATGGCTTTGTGATCAGTAGTAAATGCTGCTCCATCTTAAAGCATTGCTAGTTTGTGTGTCACTTATAATGTGCATTTGAAAAAGCAACATGTATCAAACATATTTCCAAAGATGGGAAGCATTTATGAACCTCTTGTCCAACTAAAGACAACATTTAGTAACATCAGATGAGTGCTTGAAAACATCCTTCTGTTAGATGATGTGGCTTCTTGCACAGAATAAAGCACACAACATATTATTTTATAGTATTCTCAGAATCTAACCAGAATTGTTTTTAAAGGTTTATACAGGGGCGAGACCAAAAAAGTTTGAGAACCACTGATCTACAGTAATATTTTAATATATATTGCATCCACAGAAGTCTGGGCTAAGCCCCAAATATCCACCAACGCTCTAACAGCCCATGGTTACATCCATTCTTAAAAAAAAAAACATCCAAAAGCCATTTTTTATGATGTTCTCTGACCATCTCTTACAAACAGACTGTTTTACCACATTCAAGACTTTCAAAATGCCAACTGCTGTAATTGGCTAACATATTTGCATATTAATATAATAAATTCAGCGTCCCCACCATTACACGTGTGGAATTGTTTTGAAAACTTCCAATGCTGAAAAATATCTCGTTACATATAAACATTTACCAACATTGAGAAACATTTGTGTTTGTTAAATTATATGGTTTTTAAGTCTTGGTTTTGGCAAATAAAAGTTTAAGTACTTGGAGTTACCGCAGTTAATTGACAAAGGATGACTTTTACGGTGTTTTGTGTAAAAGGAATTATGCCTGAATGTACAAAAGTTTGTCATCCTGTCTAATAGGCTAGTCATAGTTCATCAGGGTTGTGTTTTAAATGAAATGCAGCATGTGTAATGTCTTACTGATGAAAAAAACAGATCTCGTTAGCTAAAGCTTTTCATGATCGCAAGATCAAAACAATAAGAAGAGTAGTATTCTCTACACTGTAAAAATTATTGTCGGTTTAACTTTTAAAAAAGTAAGTAACCTGGTTGCCTTAATTTTAAGTTGATTGAAATGGAAAAAGTGAGTTAATACAATGAAGGAGATTGATTTAATCATCAGAAACTCTAAATAATAAGTTATCTGAACTAAATAAAATATTTAAGTTGATTTGACAAAAAAAAATGTTGTGATAACAAATCTTGAAAATATTTTTTTACAGTAATCTGTTAAACGCATTAACCCCATAAATGCTAAAGAAAAGGAAAGAACAGCAAATCGAAAACTATTCAGTGTGACTGCGGCGCTACATTAATACTCAGTACATATCAAACGATCTGTATCAAAATACTTGTGTAATGCAACATTACTGTAGGGTCCAATGTAGTCGGCACTGCATCTTTTTTTCAGTCTCTGAAAAGTCTGCTAAACTTTGTCTTGTTCAAGAATGAATATGCAGTAAAATGAAGTAAACAAACTGTCGTACTGATACGATCTGGCTTGAACTTTGTTAAATAAAAAGTTAATCCACGCTTGCTTAATGTTAAGCTCTACTCGGCCAGGAATAATTTTACAAGGTTAGATGTAGTCATGTAATTTTACCACAGGACGTCTGTAATATTAATGGTTAAAAATTAAAAAAAAGTGAGAGGGGTTACTCGATTTTTCGCACCGCCGTCACCTGCTTGTCCTCATGTGCGTACTACGTTGCTTCCTAATATCACGTCCGCAAATGCATAATCTATATATGGTGTATATATATATAACAGTTAGGTCTGGTCAAACGATTTATTAATTCAATTCTGATTGGATTCTTTTGGTAATAAGCACTTTCCTAAAGCTAAAAGAAGCTGTGGTATGTGGAAAACACTTGAGTGTTGCCTTCTCCCACCGCCTAGAACGCAACTGAATGATTTTTGATTGAAGTGCCTCCATTCTTTCAAAAACGTGGAAAACTACTTTTAAACGCAATTACCTGAGGTAATTTTTTTTCAGACCTTTTTACAGAAGGTGAAAATTGCTGTAATCTTCACATTTTCCTGTAATGAATTGCTGAGATGGCACATCTCTCTTTGCATCTGTCTGGTATTACCTACTACATGACGTGTGAATCAGATAGGTTTTCAATCTGCTAAATGCGCCTGTCACACTTCCTCTATATATCCTTTTATCTGTAGGTACTACAGAGCTTTAAGATCATGGACTACAGTCTGCTGGTGGGTATCCACAACTTGGACAGGGCAGGTGAAGAGGTGTCTACTGCAGTGCCCGATACCCAGAAAAAGGCACCAGGCCAGAAGCCCCTTTACTGCACAGCCATTGAGTCTATTCAAGGGGAGACCAAGGGGAAGTCATCACCACAGCCCTACGAAAGGTGAGTGATCAGCCTTTGACTGGCACCTTGAAATGGCAAAGCACCAAAAAATACCACAAGACTGTCTGTGTGTTTGGCTGTCTGTTCCTTTTTTTGTAATCATTTACACTGTTTAAAAGTTTAAGGTAGGTAAGATTTTTGAAATGGGTCTCTGATGCTAGGCTGCGTTTATTTGACCAAATGTACAGTCAAAACTTTATTACAATTTGAAAATAGCTGTTTTCTATTTTAAAATATAATTTATTGATGTGATGGCAAAACTGAATTTTCACTATACATTACTCTAGTCTTCAGTGTCACATCTATTATGCTGATTTGGTGCTCAAGGAACATTTCTTATCAATGTTGAAAACTGTTGTGCTGCATAATATCTGTGGAAACTGTGATTTGATTAATTGAAAGTTCAAAAGAAGAGAATTTATTTTGAATAGATTTTTTCAACACGTATAAATATTAAAACCAAAGAAAAATGAGAAAAATAGATGGGTAAAGTCACTAAATGTGACATCCCTATTTCAGAGATGCTATTGTTTGATTATTTTTACTGAGAAATGATTACTTTGCCTGGACAACTGTTAACAGGCAATATTTGTTTTTTTCTTTGCAGCATGGGAGGAATTCCAGCATTCAATTCAAAAGGAGAAAGATTGCTGGTTTTCATCGGCATCATTGATATCCTCCAATCTTATAGGTAGACTGTATTTCCATCTTTATGCTTTCTTCATAATAAATCCATAAATCATTTGCTAATAACATTCTGTATTTAGGCTTGTAAAGAAGTTGGAGCACTCTTGGAAAGCTCTGCTGCATGATGGGGTATGTCACACACCCCATATCAAACACTGAATAAAAAGTACACTTAACAAATAAAATAAAAAATATTGATGTTTTGTCTACTATTGGATTATGTCCTTTGCAGGACACGGTATCTGTGCACCGGCCGAGTTTCTACGCAGATCGTTTCCAGAAGTTTATGTGCAGCACAGTCTTCAAAAAACCTACATGTAAGTTTGATAGTTACATTGAAACATCTGCAACTGCTGCATTAAAGTGCTGACACCTTAACAATTATCTTTTCTTTCTCACGCTAGTAAAAACATCTCCCTCAAAGAAAAGTCGAGGAGCAACCATGTCTGTTGGAAAGAAGTCAAACATCGCAGTACAGTCACAACAATCCCTTCCTGTAGCAGCAGAACAAACACAGCCGCAGCAAACTACAGTCCAGGTGTCCAGCCCAGACAATCAAGGAGACAGTGGTATGAGAACACAATAAGAGATAAATAGAAATGGGAAGGTTAAGCAGGGTGTCAGAGCAAGATAAGAGTCAAGGCTTTAAATTCTTGTGATAACCAAAATAATTCTGTCTTGATACTAAATGGCTTAAATGTAAATAATTTGCTATATTTCTAGACCTAAAAACAACGAAAAAGAAACCTTTTAACTGTTAAACCCAAAATGTTTACTTCCGGTTAACAGTTAAATGGTCAATATGAGCATCCCTATTATTAACTAAGGAGCGCTCACTCTTTTGGCACTTCTTCTCGTTTCAGGTGCTCGTCCTGACCTGCTCCCACAACAGGTTACTGAAGATGAGATCACGAGTAGCTCAGCTGATACGACCCTGTCAGCAACCTCTCCTGTAAGCTCCCGGCCCTCCACAAACACTCCAGTTTTGAGGTATGTGAAGGTTAGACTTGATGATTTGGTTGAATTTGATGAAAGATGAGTTTTACAACTACTACTATTCATTCGATCACATCCACCCACTCTTTTCATTAATAATAAACATGTCTATTGATGCATTTCATTTCCAGTCGTAGCAGTATAGCTGCTCAGTCATCAGGGGAAAGTTTGGATATCGAAGTCATTTCACTCAGCGAGATCGTTCCACAGACAAGCACGTCAGAAGTAAGAGACATTTTGTTCTGGGCTGCAATCTGTTTCAGTGTAGTAGACTAAACAAAAGAGTAAATTCTATGAGTAAAGTGTTTTTATGTCTTATTACAACTGTGGTTCTCAGCTAGTGGGTCACAAATTTAATTCAATTCAAGTTTATTGTTCAGTTTTTTTCGAAGAAGTTTTAGAGAAAACTCTTGTTTCATTGGTTCAATATTTATAAATATTCTGTTATCATTCAAAGATGTATCAAAGTAATGACAGTATTATATATAATATTTTATGTGCTTAGATTAATTTAAGCAGAACCAGTGAAAATGTTAGGCAGCAATTATAACTTGTGCTTGTAATGATGATAATTTAAGAATACATTTTGATAATGATTACAATATAAGAATAATATTTGATGGTTTTGTATGTTGATGTTTGCAATTGTCTGTCAACTGAAATGGCAAACGCGGGATCCAAACTGGAGCTGCTGCTATCTATAACACTTGTGCTGTGGTTTATGCATTTACAATTTGTCAGTCATTTTTTCAGCCTGTCCCCTTAACGCCCACTGTCGCAAATATGCAACAAACCGTTTGACTCAGTCAACCAGCCAAGATAACGTCTGCATTCCCCCAATGCCGGTTTGTGCATATTCACTACGGACCTAGGACCTTCGACAAGCACTTGTTTCAAAGTGACGGACTTATTTCCTGTTTACGCACGAGGATTACTCCGGTCAGGAACATTTGCAACATACCAAATTGACCATTATGCCCGCTCTTGCAGATTTGCAACATACCAAATTGACCCCAAATTGACCATTAATGCCCGCTGTTACAGATTTGCAACATACCAAATTGTCCATTATGCCCGCTGTTGCAGATTTTCAACATACCAAATTGACCATTATGCCCGCTGTTGCAGATTTTCAACATACCAAATTGACCATTATGCCCGCTGTTGCAGATTTGCAACATACCAAATTGACCCCAAATTGATCATTAACGCCCGCTGTTACAGATTTGCAACATACCAAATTGACCATTTTGCCCGCTGTTGCAGATTTGCAACATACCAAAATTTCGATTTATTTGTTGTCCAAAAGTGAAATTGATAATCTCAACATTATTTACCATCTACTTAAAGGCAAAAACACACATAAAACATTTTTTTATATACAGCTATATAAATTCAGACGTTAAAGGAACACTCCGACTTTTTGGGACTTTAGCCTATTCACCTTACCCCCCAGAGTTAGATAAGTCCATACATACCTTTTTCATCTCCGTGCGTGCTATAAGTCTGTTTGACGCACCCACCGCTAGCCTAGCTTAGCACAAAGACTGGATGTGAATGGTTGCAGCTTTCATACTGATCCAAATGAGTGGCAAAATAACGCAAACGTTTTCCTATTTACATGTTGTAATTTGTATAGTCACAGAATGTACAAATAACAAAGTCAAATGAGACACAGACATCTTTTAACCGTATAAAACCTGGGAACTATTCTCTGAAGGCGAAGCACTGCTACTTTGACGGAGTAATAACCGCATCACTGGAGACACGCCGTGGTGAGGAGCGGAGAGTTCGCTCAGTGTTTGGGTAACAGAGTCAGCAATTTATAAATAGTAAAAGCGTAGTTTACAGTCATGAGTTTTCGCTCTATTGTAAATAGCTGCGACAGTAAACAGGGGAGGTAATCATGTTTCACAGAATTCCAACTAAAAACGCTGACTGGATGAAGAAATGGCTAACTTACTCTGGATATTTATCCAAACACACCTAAGATTATCAAAGGACATTATGTTTGCTCGGTACATTTCAATGGACGACTATTTTGAAAAAATAGAATTTGCCACACGGACCATAATGTGCTGAAGGATACGGCCATCCCATCTATAGCACAGACAGGACAAGTGGATCACCTGCGGCTGAGGTAAGTGTTCCGTTATGTTTTTAGATGACCTACTGTAACAGTGCCATTAGCCAGATCTGATGTAACGTTAGTGACACTATTACATGATTAGGGTATGAATATGTTTTTATCTTGATGCGGTGCGGACACGCTTGGAAAAAAACGAGCGCGTTCACCGCGTTGAACTTGCACCCTGCGCGCGGCGCGCCTAGTAGCCTAAATTTGAAATAACCATGGAAATAACGAACTTGAGCGTGCAAAAGGGTACGATAGGCTGTGAGTTCATTGTGCAAAAACAATTTGTGCTATTACTTTCCCCGTATTCTATCCTATAGTAATGCAATTATACTGTATATTATATACTGTTGAATACATTTGGTTCAGCTAATAAATTGCATTTAAAATATATTGATTCCTGTAATAATAATTATTTATTCATGTGATATTTGTAAATCTGGGTGCGTTTTTGGTTGGAAATCAATGAAACATGGTACTGTATTACCTGGTCTCCCCTGTTTATTGTCACAGCTCATACAATAAAGCAAACACCCATGATAAACTATGCTTTTCTATCTAACGTTAGTAATTGCTGACTCTGATACCCAAACACTGAGCGAACTCTGCTCCTCGTCACGGTGCGTCTCAGGTGATGGTTATCACTCTGCCCAAGTAGCAGTGCTTCGCCTTCAGAATTATTTATACGGTTAAAAGATGTCTGTGTCTCACATGGCCTTGATATTTGCACACTCTGTGACTATACAAATCACAACATGTAAATAGGAAAACGTTTGCGTTATTTTGCCACTCATTTGGATTAGTATGAAAGCTGCAACCATTCACATCCAGTCTTTGTGCTAAGCTAGGCTAGCGGTGGGTGCGTCAAACAGACTTCTAGCATGCACGGAGATGAAAAAGGTATGCATGGACTTATCTAACTCTGGGGGGTAAGGTGAATAGGCTAAAGTCCCAAAAAGTCGGAGTGTTCCTTTAAGGGATTGTACATCCAAAAATGAAACTTCTGTCAAAATTGACTCACTCTCAAGTTGTTCCAAACCTGTATGATTTTTTTTTTCTTCTTCTGCTGAACACAAAAGATATTTTGAGGAATTTGGGTAACCAGACAAGCCCAAGCATCCATTGACTCACATAGTAGGGGGGAAAATGCTATGGAAGCCATCAACTGTTTGGTTACAGACATTCTTCAAAATATAATCGTTTGTGTTCAACAGAAAAAAGACATTCATATAGGTTTGAAACAACTTGAGGGTGAGTAAATTATGACAGAATCCTTAACTATCCCTTTCATAAGTTTGCATAATGTTCCAGCTATACATGGTTTGAATATTTGATTTCACAACTCTTTTTTTTTTGTCTTAGCAGTAGCACTATAACCAATTTGTTACAATGTTGTGTTACCATTTCACATCCCATTTTGCAACACTGGTCCAGAAACTCTTCCTGTATCAGTTTGTAACTGTTTTCTTTATTTCACATGTAAAGAAAACATCTTAAAGATGTTTGTTTAACTTTTTGATTCAGTTTTATATGTTCTGTTGGTCGTATTGTATCCCAGCTTTTATGTAGTGTTAAAAAACTGAAACAGGAAGTGCTTCTGGACCACTGTTGTTTACATCTTGCAAAATGGTCTATAATGTCTGATGTGAAATCATTTGGGAACGTCTGCCATGGGAACCATGCCAACAAACAAAGATTTTGGGAACCATGCCAACAAACAAATAAGATTGTGAAAGTATCCTCAGTGCATGCACTTTTGCACATTACAATGTGGTCTTTGTGTCGTTTTAGCGGGATATGTGAACGGCCTCCTACAAAGCATGCTGCATTACTTGTCTAGTCATTTTACCCTGTTGTAAAAGAGTTTTATTTTTTCTTTATTTTGCTGTTGCAGTGAAAGACTATCGATGAACAGGACGAAATAAAGCCCTCAAAGACAAAGATTTACTCTCTTTTAAGGATATCGGAACAGGATGATGGAGTTACTGTAAACATCCAAGGAAGTGAAAACTGGAGAATCTGGATTACAAAAGAGAGAAGTGCACATGTTCTTAAAACTGTAAAACATTAGGATAAAGATATCCCCCCCCCCTTTTCTTTACATATATATATATATATGCATTTGTATATATATATATATATATATATATGTATATGTGTATATATATATATATTGGATGTCAGTACATCCAATTTTGCTGCTAAGAAATGGAACCAAAAGAAAGATGCCACTGTATACCTCAACAGTGTGTGATATCACTGTTCTCAAACAGTTTCATTTTTACAAGAACTCCTTGGACCTGATAATGTTCTAAGCAGAAGAACAGTGATGAGAACTTTGCATCATGGGACTGGCTCTTGGATAACAAACTGGTATTTTGAGAACCTCTGTGAGTGTTTTGTAGTGGACTTCATTTGACCATGCGTCTATTTTTTTCTCTTAGTTTGCCAAGGAGAGCTATCTGCTGGAGTAGTTATTCACTTTGCTAAGGGTAGAAAGGAGATATGGCTGGTTGTGAGTTTTAAAGACATTTTAGGAATATGTCATGATTATCTACTCCCCAAAAAACAAAAACATGCTGGATGAGTCAATCCAGATCAGGTTGCCTGAACAATCATGTAACAAGACCATTTTTTAAAAAAAACTTTGAATCTGTAAAATGGGTTCGATTTTTGATTTTAGAAATTGGTTCAAATGCAGTACTGTGGTGTTTTTGAATTTTTAAATGTGCCTTAATCACAAGAGTTATTTTGCCTTATAATTAACAGGAAGCCTTTCACTTAGCATGATGCCTGCAAGTGGATTGTGCCGGATTGCATGGGTCACCTCTGCAAAAACACAGTATATCTCTCTCAAATCTTAGTCTGTCATGTATGACTGAACTATTAAAATAATTCATTTAAAAAAAATATTTTGAGTTAGTTTGGAGATTGATTTACTTAAACGTTACATTGTTTGCAAAAAAAGAAAAGAAAAAAAAGAAAGCCAAAGCAAACAAGGCAACAGATCACTTTTGTAACATTGGCAGAAATATTAAACCATGTATAAAAGACCTAATTCAGTATTTCGGCTCGCAGAACTAATATTTTGTGTGTGTGTGCGTGTGTGTTTGCTTTTTTTTTTAGCAGTGATTTTAAAATGTCAGTTTTTTAGGGCACAGTAAGACAGACCTGGCAGAACAGCTACTGTAAAACAATATATAGCATCTGTGCTGTTATGCTTTAATGAAATTTAAGTTAGATATACTGTGTACAAACTTAGCTTAATGTTTTGTTGAGAGAAATGAATTCCAACTAAACTAAATCCTGAACAAACTTTTTTTTTTCATCATTTTTGAATGTGCATGCTAATCAGTCAGCCTAAAAGCAGAGACATTAATGATGAAGATGCAAATATTATGAAATGAGGATTCGTAGGCGAGTAAGGGAACATTGCTGGAACTTTTTCTGTGACAATTTTTATGAACAAAAAACATTCCTGTACAAAGTCATATTTATTTGTATGTTTGCTTGTAATTTATTTCTTTATCTCAAGTTCCAAAGTGTCTATTGCAGGTTTTTATGTGACATGGTATGCAAGTTCTGACACCTGGTGGCTGTGTAAATTTGTTTGGGCTGGTGAATGCGTTTTTTTTTACTGTACACTCACGATCTGGGATTCTTGTGCAATTGCCGTTTGCTCTGAAAATGCTTATTGCCTTTAACTGAGAATTGTCTTAAGTAGTAGCTTTAAAAATAATTTAAAATATCTCTCTCTTAAAATGACATTCATGTTTTACAGCTCTCTGTCAGAGGATATTGAGACTTTTGGAGTGGAAAATATTGTAACATTTCATGCTGTATGCAAATTAATTAAATAAACAACACTGAAAAAAATGTCAATAGATCAACTTCCTGTGTTATGCTTTACTATCAGATGATCTCTTCAAGCCTGTTAACAGCATTGTATGTGTTTTAGGGTTTACATCTGCACTTAAATCTCACGTTGTTCCAAAAACAAGAGATGTTAGGCAAAACGACTGTCTCAGTCGACGTTAACATTCATTGTTTTTGAAAAATTACAATGAAAGTGAAGTGACTGAGGCTGTTATTGACTATTCCTTAAAATTCACTGTTGTGTTTCGCGGGGGGGATAAAGTTTAGCACAACTAGGTGAGGACATTTTAATTTTTGGTGTGAACGATCCTGTTCTCAGACAGAAACGTGACCTCCGGCCACATGTGGGCGCTAAAACATTTCTACGCCGCGAGCGGTGGAGGAGAAGCAGCGATGGAGCTGTCGACCAATCAGCTTTGCGGTTACAAATATCGTCATTATCCTACATCTGTAAACCTATCAGCGAGGCCGTCACTTTGGGAAACAGACTAGAGGATTTCCAAGATGGGGCTCGAAAGTACTATGGTCTGGTAAGAAATGAACAAACGCGTTGTTTTAGACATAAATGCGCCTTTTTTATAGTAAATACGTAGGTTTTTCGTTCTGTCACACGTTTGAGCTCATAGTTGGGAACAAATAAGATAATTAAATAGTCGCTTTCTGGTTAGAATGACATTCTCCTGAGTCATTATTCAGCAGGTAACGTTAGATCTATCATAAAGAAACGGATCACTAACACACAAAACACATTAATGACCCATAAACAATGACCACTTGTTTGTGAACTGGGTCTGATAGCAAATTATTCAGACTTCTAGATCTGCCATGAAGTGATACTGAATGTGTTGTTGGTCCAACGCCCTCTAATGCTATCTAGAGAGGCAGCTTGATTGTTTTTGATACACAGTCATTTAGCTAAAGCAGTTGTCTACTGCTAGGATCTAGTTCACTCACTCTGGCTGTTAGGCAAATGAAAATAGGATCACTATGTGCTAGTGTTTGATTCTTCATTCCTTGCAAATGTCAGACAGTTAAGTCACCTTTATTTATATAAGTTAGCGCTTTATAAATTATAATATACTAAAGGCCGTTCAGCGTTGAGTCAGTTAAAGTCAATAACAGTGTAAAGTTAAGCAATGATGAAATGAGTTCAGTTCAGCTATAACAGCTCTAAAACATCTATACATAAGATAGTAGTGTCATCATCCAGCTCAATTCAAGTTTTGTTCTCATCTGATAGTGTCATATAGTCAAATCAATAATATTCACAAATATTTTAAACCACTTCTTAGCAAGCCAGAGGCGACAGAAGCAAGGAATCCAAACTCCATCGGTTGACAATTTAAAATTGGGATAGGAATAACCTTTTGAAAAAAAAAAAAATGTCACCACGAAATCAAATTTGACAATTCTTATTTTTTATGAAATATTGCCATTTATAATTAATAATTGATTTGTAAACATGCTTATCTTTATTCAATTCACGTTCCCTTCTTGTAATCTTTAATCCCATCCCTCTTGAATTGATATCTCCTCTTTGACATTTACATGAGATCATAGCATTAGAAAACCACAACTATCCAATCAATTCCTGATGGACAAAAATAAGTCGACGCCCTAAATTTTTACTCATTCAAGAAGCTGTTTAATTCTTATATACGGCACAATAGGGAAGAAAACACTTTCATAACTTGCATTTAATACTGACTTTAAGGATACAGACCGCATGTCACCCAGTTTACACTATTACACTTCCATAAAATCAATGATTGTTTTAAATAGGAAACATGCTGATTGCCTTAATTTGTCTTTACAGTGTGGACAACAGTGAATACATGAGGAATGGAGACTTTCTGCCCACCAGGTTACAGGCACAGCAGGATGCGGTCAACATTGTCTGTCACTCAAAGACCCGTAGCAACCCAGAGAACAATGTGGGCCTAATCACAATGGCCAAGTAAGTTTGTCTGTGTTGTTTTCTATTTCATGCAGTGGTGATGTTTGCATGTAATAACACATGGTTTGGTTTTATGCAGTAATTGTGAGGTCCTCACCACTCTAACACCAGACTCTGGCCGCATACTCTCAAAACTCCATGCGGTTCAGCCAGTGGGAAAAATCTGCTTCTGCACCGGCATACGAGTGGCACATGTAAGTACATTCATTGATGCTTAAAGGGGTAGTTGACCCAAAAAAATAACATTTACTAGCCAATATTTTTTTCCAAACCTGTATGACTATCTATATATATATATATATATATGTATATTAGGGCTGTCAGTTAAATGCGCTATTAACGGTGCTAACGCAAACCCATTTTAAAGGCACACAATGCACTCTCCGGTTTTTTTGTAAAACAGTGACCTCTAGAGCCGCTGTGGTGTACTTGCACTGTCGTAAATAACCGTTATTCCCCTGTTACTGCATACTGAACTACTGTCAATTCTTTGGAATAAGAATAAAGTTGCCTATCGCGTTTGCTGGCTTATAAAGTTTTTACATGATTTCTGCTAAATCACAAGTAAATAGCCTATCGTGTAGGACTAATGTAAAATTTCATTTGTGTTTTTGATTGTAATGTAAACATTACAAAATGTCAGATGACATCAATAAAGTTAAATGTACTTCGCATTATTTCATAACATTGGCCGTTATGATTTCATTAGACACGATTATTACAATTTATCATAATAGTTAGCAAATTCTGTTCAATTACACTATTTACAACCTCTAGGCTTATATGTCCTAATAATAATGTGAGATATTGACTATGCCCTCATTATAATCGCAGGAATCAACATCAACAGAGTCCAGATTTAATTGATTCATAATCAACACAATTTGAAGAAAAATTACAGTCGGGAAGTGACTGTTAGTCAGGAAGTTAGTCAGATAAAGTTTAGAACAGTAACTTACGCACGATATAAGAAATCCGAACCAGACACAGGATTAACATTACGTGATACACATCACAACACCTGAGTTCAGCTGGCAAACTAGCTCTTGTGGCAACCTCGGCAATAACACATGATGAAAAAAACAACAAAACTAAGAGAAACGACTGTTTGTTAGGAAGTCTGCTTACAGCTTTTGGTAAACGAAAGACGTGTGGGAATTATTGAACTGGTCTAATTATCAACAACGGATGAATGAACAGCACCTAAAAAAATGACAAACTACAAGCTAGTGCAGCAACATAGAACGCAAACACGTTTACAAATAAGAGATTTACTTACAAGTCCATCAACAAGATCGGCAGGTCAGCATCGCTGTTACAATCCAGTGCTGCTTTTAAGCTCGCGCCAAGGAGTAAAAGTCCGACCGAGTGGACTCGATCCTGTGCAGTTTCTAGCACGGTCCGATTCTCTTTCCCTTTTTCTGGACATTTCTGACCGAGTTTTCTTGGATGCGCACAAGTAGCTTCACACAGTATGTTGTTGTTGATGTATGTGACGTCGTTGCCGTAAACCATTTCGTTATGTGTCAGGGGCGCCGCTCTCAAACTTGCATGGCTAGTTTTTCCCGCGGCGTCCCCCCCCCACCCCCCCCCCCAGCTCTACTACCAGGATGATTCGCCCTACTATGACTTTGTTAACCACCGAAACGACTTTGAAGCTGTTATATTAAGGTACAGATCTTGCATAGAGTGCCTTTAACGGCATCAATTTTTTATCGCGCGTCTTTTTGGCCTAGCAAACTTTGTAGTTTTTTTTCACATGCTTTTGCAACTGGACGCGGCGTGATGAAACCCATTCATTTCAATGGCTTGCGCCGCACAAGAACATTTTGTTGCTGTGTCGACCAAAGCGCAAGCGGATCTAGCTAGACCGGAAACAGAACAACAGGCATGCTGCACACATGTTTGGGCTTGCGAGATGGCCAAATAGTTGGTTCACGTTACGGTTTGAGTGGATGACGAACACGAGATGCCAAAATGGATGCCAATAAGATTCTGAATGGAAATTTTACTTTTAAACGTTGTTAAATTCCATTGACTTGACCGAAGTGATCTGTGTGTTTTGTCGTTGTGAACTGAGCTATGATCATCGCAGCACGTCCTGCCTGAAACGCCACTCAATGATGGCCAAGCACACAAACACACACACACAGCTGATGCGACTTCTCCGCCCCTCATCAATATCAGGACCTCGTCAGTATTTCTTTCACCCTTTTATTGATGGACAGTGTTACATTGTGTGAGAGATTATTTGCTCCAAGTGAGAATGTTAGTGTGAAATTGAACACTGTATATGCCAATTTTGTTTTCAATCAAAAAACAATTGCACAAATCAAGCCGAAGCACTTTTCCATGTTGATAAGAGCATTAAATTGAGAAAAAAATAATGGGACAAAAAGAAATCAAGAGACATTTAGAATAGATTAATATGTGCAATTAATCGCAAGTTAACTATGACATTTATGCGATTAATCGTGATTAAATATTTTAATCGTTTGACAGCACTAATATATATATTTCTTATATATGTTGAATGCTTGGGGAAAAAAAACTTCCTGTAAATTCTTCAGAAATGTACAAGACAGAAACTTGTACAGGTTTTGGTAATTTTTCTTTGAAAAATGAAAGTAGTATTTGAATCCTCTAGCTAACATTTACTTTTGTGTATGTCTACATGTAGTTGGCACTAAAGCATAGACAAGGCAAGAACCACAAGATGAGGATTGTCGCTTTTGTGGGCAGCCCAGTGGAGGATAATGAAAAAGATGTATGTTTTTATTTATTCATTATTCATAAATGACAAATGCTTTTCATCTTCCATGTTGATCAAACTGTCTTTATTTTAGGTTTTAAAAGTTATAAACATTATTTTATTCAAATCTTTTCCAGCTGGTGAAGTTGGCAAAACGGCTGAAAAAAGAAAAAGTCAATGTAGATGTGATAAATTTCGGAGAAGAGGTAACTGCTCAACTTTCTTACCTGTTAATCACTTAAAAATCTTTCAGATTTTTCTGACCTATTTTTTTCGCTTTGTCCCTTTTCATAAACCTGTTCAGGAGGTGAACACAGAGAAACTGACTGTGTTTGTGAACACTCTGAATGGAAAGGAGGGCACAGGTTCTCATCTGGTCACGGTTCCCCCTGGGCCCAGCCTGGCTGATGCCCTGCTCTCTTCTCCTATCCTGGCTGGTGAGGGTGGTACCATGATGGGCCTGGGTGCAAGTGATTTTGAGTTTGGAGTGGATCCCAGTGCAGACCCAGAGCTGGCCCTGGTAATATACAAATTCATCTCTCAGATAATTACACTGAAGAATCCATAAACGTAAAAGTGAAATTTCAATTTTTTTTAAAGGTAACACTACTTTTACATCTGTTTAAAATAGAGACATTTATAAGTAAAGCGTTCTGAAATTCTGAAATTTTGGCTGACGTAATAGTTTTGAAGGGCCGAAATCAATGACTGAAACAGTCATTAGCGCCTTTCCAATGGCTAATTTCTTGCTAGTGTTGATATTTCTTATGAAACGGTTTCAATTTTCACATTTAGTTGATTTTATCACAACATTTTTTATTAAAGAAAGTTGTAGAATGACTTACTGGAAAGATTTCAATAAAACAGCTTGTAAACATGATATCCCAAAACATTACATTAACCTCAGGAAAGCCATTCAATCTCTATATCTCATGTATTACGTATTCATTATATTTTTACTTAACCTGTCAGTGATGTTTTCATTATTTAATGTATGTTTGAATAAATCTTGAAAACAACTTGTTTATTACAGCCATTGTTTAAATGTTTATATTTCACCAACAAACTTGAGTAGAAACTAATTATGTGATTCTATTTCTGGATTATTACATAAACTTTAAGTTTGTTGTTCAGGTAAAATCTAATTAAAAAGTCTAAGATTAATAAAGTTATACAAAAATATATTTTTTAGATAAGAACATTTTAGGGTTTTCAGCCAAGTTCGTCCTGAATTTTCTGTCTCGGTCCAGCATTACTGAATGATCAATTCCCCAATTTTGATTCAAATTACTAAAGCAATTAGCAACAATTTTAGAATGTTGTTTAGGGCAATCTCACTTGAGATCTATTCTGATGACATTTAATTAATAAGGGAGATGTTTATTCATGTTGCTTTTATTGATATACAGGCACTGCGTGTATCTATGGAGGAACAAAGGCAGAGGCAGGAAGAGGAGGCTCGTAGGGCGGCCGTCCAATCAGCAGCTGAAGCTGGCGTTCCCACCGCATCCGCTGACGGTAAACAAGTGTGGATGTTTGAAATACTGTAGGATGGTGGTGGGCACAGTGGTTCTGAGCAAATAATCGGAAGGGTAACGCTTTACATTAATTTTCATTAATAAATCATTAACAAACATTATTTAATGCTTAACAGATCATTGGTTAATATATATTCACATAGCTAGAAATTTGAGATAATGTAGTTATCTTAATGGCAAAGTGCTCCAGATGACCTGAATTCACTCAGTGTTGAAACTACTCATCATTTGTTAGTGTTTATATATATATACTATGAATCATTTAGTACCTTTATGTACATTGGACTTTTAGCTGCTGTGACAATGTTTAGCTAAATCCTTGCTAAAGACATATAATAGCACCACATACTTGTAATTTGGGTGCAAAATATATTTTATTGCCTTATAACAGGATATTCCTCGAATCATACATCAACAGGAGAATAGTCAAATTTTCAAGAAAATATTTGTTCATTTATCAAAACAATGTAATATAAACATTTTGAACTGTGTCCCCTTATTGTAATCAAATTGACCCCTGAACACTGTCGACACCTTAACCAACCCTTAAACCCACCCGTACCCCCAAACCTGTCCCTAACATTTCCCAAATCACACCTCAGTAGCAGCAAGTGTTTTGCAACAGAAAGCAAAAAGTATTTTTTTTCTCTACATAAGTACATAGGATTTTTAAGAAACCTAATATAAAGATATTTTTATATTAATTATGTTACATTTTCTGTTAGCTACCTAATGACTTTTTGCATTTGTAAATTTAAAAATAAAGTCCATAAAATAATAAATGAATTGATGTTTAATGACATTTGTTGATTTTCAAGAAGTGTATGATCATATGAATTGAAAGTTTAATGACATTTGTAAGCATTTTAATTTACATTAAATAATGATCTGATAATCAATCAACATGTAATATTTAATTGGGTTTTTTAGTAAACATTAAGAAGCACATTCTCATATTTCTAGCTGTGAATATATGAAGAGTTCAGATGCAAAAGCCTCTAAGTGCCATTTGAAATTTTCTTCTAGAATGATAATTTTTATCAAGCTTGCATATTTAAGTTCAGTAATTTCACTTAAATGACAATTAATAGGTAATCTTCATTGCCATTTAAGTGAAATTACTGAACTTAAATATACAAGCTTGATAAAAATGATCATTCTAGAAGAAAAATTCAAATGGCACTTAGAGGCTTTTGCATCTGAACTCTTCATATACAGTAATAACTAATGATCGGTTAAGCATTATATAATGTTTGTTAATGATTTATTAAAGTTATATATAAAGTGTTACCACATATGGTACAAAAAAACAAACATTTTATATCTTATATTTTTTTTAATTTACATTTATGCATTTAGCAGACTCTTGTTACCCAAAGCGATTTTCATTGCATTCAAAGTTACACATTTACTTTCTTATCAGTTCTTGCTTTCCCTGGGAATCGAACCCATGAACTTGGCATCGCAAGCGCCAACGCTTTTCTGCTCGAGCTACAGAAAAGCCTTTTAATTTTATAAGCCTTATGATTTAGATTTAATTGTACATATTGTACTAGACAAAATCAAATACGTTTTTTTCTTCTCTTCTGCCTTTCATATCATTAACAGTCCTGAATAATCTTGTTTTTGAAATTCTGAATCAGTTTTTGACTCATTTGTGGGGCCTATTCCTTTTACCTTAAAGTCAAATCCCGTAGCAGACAGTGCTGTTTGTTCTCTCCCTAAGAATCAGAGGAAGCACTTCTGAAGATGTCTGTCTCTCAGCCCGAGAGTGCTGTGGCAGCACTGCCAGACTTCAGCAGCATGACAGAGGAGCAGCAAATAGCCTATGCCATGCAGATGTCCCTGGCTGGTGGAGGTTTGTGTCGCCCTCATGTACCTTGTTAATCTTAGAACATACTTTGTGTGCTTGACATAGGATGTAATATTGCTCATCAACCCTCTTATGTTAGAATTTGGAGAATCAATGGATACAGGAGCTCCAATGGACACTGCGGAATCTAAGGTAATTAAAAATATTGTCCTCTGGGCTCATCACAATTTTAATATGTTAAAAAATACTTCATTTTTAATTTTATCATTTCAAATTGAGCAGTAACCCCTGGTCACTTGCACTTTTTAACTGATTCTACAGGAAGAGGATGATTATGATGTAATGCAGGACCCAGAATTCCTCCAAAGTGTCCTGGAGAATCTACCTGGTGTTGACCCCAACAATGAGGCCATCCGCAATGCCATGGGCTCCCTGGCCTCTCAGAGTGGTAACAAACAAGAGGGGAAAAAAGATGATGAGAAGAAGAAATAAATTCAAGTGTTCTGTGATTGCTGTACAAGCCATTTGACAAGTCAAATGTGGAAATGAGTTAAATTCAAGCGGCCAGCAGAAGTCTTTATAAAAGCAGTTTTAGATGCATAATGAGTTGCAATCTGACATTCATAACCAAATTACTGCAATGTTGTGTGGTACCTCAAAAATTCACACATGGCTTGCTTTTTTCCCTTTTTGCTGTGCACAATTTGGTTAAAAATTTGATAATCCCATGCAAGATATTTAATCTGAGTGGATTTCTTTTTTCTATTGCCAATAAAATTACATCTGACCAGAAGCCTTACAGGTCCTTATTTCGCTAAGAAAAACGTTTTCTATATATAATGAAAACATTACACGACGCGTAGTATGTTTTATTAAAAGAAATCTGACTACAATGACAAGCATATAGAAATTATCAAATGTTCTACACATTATTTACAATATACATTATATTTTTGTCCCATCCAGACATAATATATGAACGCTCTAGGTTAACCTATATTCAACCAAATCTCAATATTACAAAATTTCAATTGGAAACATGTAATGAGATTTTAACAGGGAGGACTAGCAGTATGTGTAGTTATGAAGTTTTATTTATAGCTATTTACAGATCCTTTACAGAACCAAACCTCTCACTGAAGGCACAAATTAAAAAATCAAGACATACGAGCAGTACAGAGATGATTTGAAATAAGGCATGGTGACATGACCCATGTATTAAACTAAATTAACCTGAGGGCTCAAAGAGTATGTTAGAGGAAAGAGGTATGGTAATCAACTAAATTCAAGATCAACTAAAATACAAGATAAACGTTTAGCCGATATTTGCGTCAAACATGCAAAAACAAAGTGTAAAAAAGATAATAGTGTCAACACTTGGGAAACCATCTACCTTCCAACATTATCAAAGATCAATGTACTTGTACATACGCATCTCCCATTGCATGAAGTATGTAATGTTCATAAAGGTTGAGCACGCTGCTAAGTTTTTCAGTGCAGTCTGCACATTCAAATCCCTCCTCTGACGACTCTTCTTGAGCAGTCGCTTCTACCTCCATATCAACACTTGTCTCCACAAATCTAGTTCTCTGATGCGTGCAGCTATAATCACCATTTGCCTTCTCTTTTGGGCTTTCACTTGAATTTAGGTTGGTGGTTTCCTGACCTGATGTGGCCTGAGGTAGATGTGTGCTGTCAGACTGAGCAGTGATTTCACTGTTTGGAAGTTCAGGACTAGTTGTCTGAGAGTTTGAGACCTCCTGTTCATCAGGGTCCAAATTAATGACTGGAATCTGTACTCTGCGACTAAAGGGGACATAGAGCCTGTCAGGGTGGGAATAAACATACAGGCTTTCATCATCGGGTATGCCATCAAGTTTGAGGTTTGATATATGATTCTTTTGAGTGGAGGTTAGGGTAGATGGTGTCTCACTACAAGAATCTGACAATTTTGAGGTAGGTACTGTCGCTGAATGAACATTACTCTTTGCATCTCTGGAATGCCGTATCTGATGAGCGTAGAGCAACTCCCCCGTTGAAAAGCTAGCTTTACATCTCTTGCATTTGTGAGGAAAATCGAGGGGCTTTGAAGGAATATCAGGGAGGACCGGACCATGGTCGGTGGTGTGCGTTTTCAAGTGTTCCTTTAAGACTCTTGTATTTGTGAACGAGAGATTGCAAGCGAGACAAATATGAGAGGTAGAACCATTGTGCAGAAGACTGTGCTTGATTAAGTTTGTTAAACTACTGAAAGTCTTAGAACAGACATCACATTTGAGACTTTTACAAAGTTGTTTATGAGACTCACATTGGTGAGCATGTAAGCTTGACTCCTGAATGAAGGTTCTGGGACAGAGCGAACAAGCATATGCTTTCTCTCCAGCATGGTCAATCATATGTTCCTTAAAGGAGCTCAAGAATCGAAACTGCAGATTGCACTGATTACAAGAGTAGGAACGGCTTTTTAGACGATGACGTCGCTGATGCAGCCATAGTTTACTCCACCTTTCGAAGAACTGTCCACACTGTGCACAGGTATATCTGAAACCAGGAGCATGCATTTGCAGATGAGCACTCAAAGTCCTGTACTGCTCGAATCGCTGACCACAACGTGAACACTTGAATTTCAAAAGACTCTGAGAGATTTCAATGCAGTCTTGAGGGCTACTTGTGGAAATACATCTAACATCAGAATGAGTGGGAGTTTGGGCAATTGGGAGCTTGATGGGTGACAGGGTAGAATCCATTTTAGGAATTTCAGAGAGATCTGTCTCTTTTGTTTGTGGAAGTTCCACATCTATCGATTGAGGCAGTTGTGGGAGTTGTTCTGAGCGGTTCGGCATTTGGGAATTCAGGTGAAATCCTGTACTTGATGGAGTCTGTTTTGAGGTACACTTTAAAGGGTAGGTTTGGATAACACCTTGCATGATTTCAGAGAGTGATGCACCACAAATCTGATCCTCCCCACTTGACTGGCAACAAACCTCGCAATGAACATTCATCTCTGAATCCTTCTCATAACACTGTCCACAAGAAAAACAAATATATGGGGGAGAGCTGGTATGTGTTTGAAGGTGAAGAGTGTATTGGCACCATTTCCTGAAAAGCTGTTTGCATATTTGGCACTTGAAGAACACTGGTGTGTTCACTTGACCATCAACTCCTTGACTTACAATAAAGCCCTCAATGTTACCTCTTGCCCCATCATTCCTCCTTGCAATGCAAGTTTTGGATGCCTGGTGCATCCGAAGTGCAGACAGAGCACTGAATGCATGACCGCAGTGAAAGCAGGAGAAAGGGGTCTCGCCGGCATGGTCTTGAGAATGCTTTTTTAGGGCCTTTAGCAGGTTAAATCCTTTTCCACAAATTGAACATGCATATGGTTTAACAGGCCAGTGGCTTTTTTCATGAGCTGTGAGGCTTGATGGTTTCCAGAACTTCTTCCCACAGTCCTTACAAGTCAAGGGCTTCTCCACTTCATGTGATTGCATGTGATTCTGTAATTTGACGCGGCTTAAAAAGTTTTTCTTGCAAATAAGGCACCTGTAATTGTTTGGGGTCTCTGAACACACATCTGATAAAGTATTTTTCTTGCTCTTAATGCCCGTCTGTGGTTCAGTGTTTGTCTTTGATTCATGCAGGTGGACTTTAAAATGACATAGCAAATTTTCTTTCTGCAAGAATTTTTGGCTACAGCAAGGACAAGGAAAAGAGGCATCCTGTTTATGTACATTACGATGAGACTTGAGTTTGGACAGTTGAGCAAAGGTTTTTCCACAGATCTTGCATTTGTAGGGTTTGTCACCTGTATGAATGCGTTGATGAACGGCATATGCTGTAATGTGCCGAAAGGAAACACCACAGTATTTGCATGTGAGGGGTTTCTTCATTATTTCTTTAGGCTTGGATCTCATTGTTTTCTTTTTAGACACCTTTTTTGGCATTACAACACATTCCTCACTATCCTTTGTAAAGGCATCCATTTTATGTTTTGTAGATGTCTGAAATGTGTTTTCTATTTCAAACAAGTTGTCAAGCATTTTTTTTCCAGACATTTCCACACTTTGTCCAGCTGTTTGCGGAGTACATTTCAGCTCAACGTTGGGTTTAATTTTTGTATCCAGAAAAATGTGTTCTGACTCCTCTTTGACCACATTGTTAGAAATTAAGTTACAAATTCCACTAGAGACTCCCCCAGAGAGTCCTGAATTATCAGTAACCGCAAATAAATGGTTTCCATTTGGTTCAGCATCGTGTTCATTGTACTTCTTTACTTCTTTCATTAAATTGGAGGATAGGTGAGTGGAAGAAGTGGACATTTGAGTGGAAGTTTTCTCCTTATCATTGTTCTCTGATGTTACTGGATTATACTGGTCCTCTGTAGCACATTCATTAGTTATACTAAACGTTGTCAGTAAACTTTTGGCTGGTTCAGAACAATCTTGTCTTTCGTCATTTTTGTTTTTTGTTGTAAACCTTTGAAGCTCTTCATGATCAGTTGCAAGATCAGAGGTTGGTTTTTTACTTTTTCGTCTCTTCCGACCACGTTTTGCTCCTTTCAATATTTTAACTGTAGCCTTTCTCTCAATCTTTATATCTGCCAGGACATCTCCATCTTGTATAGCAGTTTTTTCACAAATTTCCAATTTCTTTGCTGTCCTAGGCATTTGCAAAGATGTTTCCCCTTCCTCATTGAAATCCTTTGTGGATTTTTGAGGGATGGAATCTATATCTGCTTTTTGAAAACCTTTGACTGAAGGTTCAGATGTTCTGCTGGATAATCTCAAGCTTGACAACTTAAGTCTTTTAAAGTTCTTCCCTTTTTTATGCTTGGGTGCAGGGATGTTGTGTGACAAGTCATCAGCAACACTCTGAAGGGATTCTGAGGGATCAGTCCCCAATTGTTTGGTAAAAGTTACATTATCCACTTGCTTCACTGGACTTGCAGCTGCTTTGGCAGTATTTTCTGTGCTGTCCTGACATGAAGAGAGGTCTGAGATCTGGACAGATGGAGAGGTGTTATCTTCTAAATGTGCTATAGGCAACTTCCGTCTGTTATTTTTAATTGAGGATGGTCTTCCTTGTCTTGGTGACCTTTGCTTAGTGTACGGGCCTTCACAATCATCAGGATGCATGGAGCTGGAAAGAGTCTCAGTGCTCTCCTGACATGAAGAGAGATCTAGGAACTGGACAGATGGAGAGGTTTTATCTTCTAAATGTGCTATAGATAACTTCTGTTTCTTGTTTTTAATTGAGGGTGGTCTTCCTCGTTTTCTTGACTTTTGCTTAACAGTGTACTGGCCTTCACAATCAGTAGGTTGCATGGAGCTGGAAAGAGTCTCTGTGGTGTCCCGACATGAATCAGGGTCTAAGAACTGGACAGACGGAGAGATGTTATTCTTTACATATGATATAGGTAATTTCTGTCTCTTCTTTTTTATTGAGGGTGGTCTTCCTCGTTTTCTTGACTTTTGCTCAACAGTGTGCTGGCCTTCACAATCTGCAGGTTGCATGGAACTGGAAAGAGTCTCTGTGCTGTCCTGACATGAAGAGGGATCTATGATCTGGACAGATGGAGAGGTGTTGTCTTCTAAACATGCTATAGATAACTCCTGTTTCTTGCTATTTAATGAGGGTGGTCTTCCTCGTCTTGGTGACTTTTTATTAACAATGCACTGGTCTTCACAATCTGCAGGTTGCATGGAACTGGAAAAAGTCTCTGTGTTGTCCGGACATGAAGAGAGGTTTGAGGACTGGACAGATGGAGCAGTGTTTTCTTCTAAATGTGCTAAAGATAACTTCTGTTTCTTGCTTTTTATTGAGGGTGGTCTTCCTCGTCTTCGTGACTTTTGCTTAACAGTGTGCTGGCCTTCACAATCAGCTGGTTGCATGGAACTGGAAAGAGTCTCTGTGCTGTCCTGGCATGAAGAGAAATCTGAGACATGGGCAGATGGAGTGGTGTTATCTTCTAAATGTGCTATAGATAACTTCTGTTTCTTGCTTTTAAGTGAAGGTGGTGTTCCACGTCTTGGTGACTTTTGCTCAACAGTGTGCTGGCCTTCACAATCATCAGGCTGCATAGAACCAGAAAGAGTCTCTCCAAGCCTTGTATGACATTCAATGATGTCTAAAGAGCCCTGGGTTGACACATTTTGAATAAATGTTCCCGAGTTTGTTTTTTGTGTGCGGGTTGATTTTCTTGATTTCATTACTGGTTCTTCTGGAATAACTGCTGTCCTCTGCGAGTTATTAGAAATTAGAATTTTTGTGTTGTTTTGAAAATCACAGACAATTCTATTTTCATAAGATATATCTTTATGTTCCTCATCTTTAACCGTTCGAGATAACAGGCCTGCTATCTTCTTTCGCCTAGCTTTTCTACTCTTTGTTTTAGGGGTTTTTGTGGCTTTGAGATCTTTAATTCTACTATCTTCCTCTTCTTTTTCAGGCTGTGGTTCTACAGTCTGACCATCATCTAGTTTACAGAAATCTTGGATCTGTGTAAAGGTGACCATGACACCTGCCTCATCTGATCCAGTATTTTTCTCTTGAGACAAAGAAATATTAGCAAATTCATGCGTTTCTGCAATTTGCTTGGATATTTTGGCTTTCTCCTTCGTCTGATGGTCACAGCCGTCTGCTTCTAACGTTTCAAAATTCTCAAAGGCTACCTCCCGCACAACAGATGGCATGTCAGACTTTTCGTCCTCTCCGAGAGCCAGCTCTTGAATGTTGCCTTGTTCTTTATCTTCTTTTTGCACTAGCAATTGTTTCACTGGTGTTTTCTTTACCTTCTTTGGTGAGCTCTGAGAGAATGCAACATCTTCAGAGAAAACCTGGTTTTCAACATGACTTTCAGCTGATTCATTACAAATGTCTGTTTTTATGCAAGGGTCTTGTGTTGCATCCTTACCCAGAGATATTGGTGGAGGCAAAAGTGCTGACAAAAACGAATGATGTTCAGCATGGTCTTCTGGTTGAACATTTCTGACTTTTAGTGATGTCTTCTTTTTCATACGTTTAATTTTCAATTCTTCTGACCTTGAATTTGTGTTTCTGTTAGAAACTGAATATTCTTGCTGCATAGTTGCTGAAAGAGACGGTTCTCCAATTTTTTTGATTACTTGGGTAACATGTGTTTTGCGTTTAGTGACCTTTTTACGTCTTTTCGTCTTCACTTTTATCTTCTTTTGGCGTACACCATCTGAATTATCCATTTCTGTAGCTGACGCAGAATCAAATTGATGGAGTTCTTGTTGCATTGATTGGTCAACTTCAGGTGTTGTTGCTTCGCCTTTAATGTCAGACATTTTCCTAGATTTTTTTGGCGTGCTGTGTGCAAATGAAGTTGAAACACATTCAGTGTGCTGCAAAGTGGCTGTAGAAGTCTGCATGATGAAAAGAGCAGTTGCATGGTTCCCCTTCACGTTCTCTGCAATTGCATTTTCCACAAGTCTTTTTTCTTTTAAAGTCATTGGTGAACTGGAGGCCACTATGTCTGCACTAGATTTTGAGGTTATTGCAACAAAATCGTCATGCTGGTTTACATCGAGTATTCCTTCCGCCTCATTTTTTATTTTGGTTACAATCTTTTTTCTTGGCTTTTTCAGTGTTTTGGTTCGTCTTGAATCAATCTTTGAAGGTGAAAAAGAATTTTCTTGTGTCACAAATGCTAATATTGTGTCTTCAACCAAATTATCCTTTAAGGGGTCGTCATTTGTTTTGTTTCTAGAGGGACTTTCAACTTTCACGGTCTTTTCAGGATTCGAAACCAGAACAGATGCAAAATCTTCTGAAGGCAGTACAATAACATCGTCCTTTTGGCTAGTAGTGGATGTTTGTCCCTCCATAAATTTGATTTTTGTCTTTCTCCTTTTACTTGACGTCTTTTCTGTTTTCTTTTGGCTGACACCTGAAATGTCAATTTCTGTAGAAGACATAGAATCAACTGAAGAAATTGACTGATTCAAATGAACATTTTCACAGCTCTCACTGACTGCGTTATGGGAAAAAATTGTGTCAAATGTTTTTCTTGGACTGAACCTTCTTGTAGTTGGTTGCACAATGCTAGCATCAGATTCTGAGAGTGGATTCAAAACACTCTGTTGAGCTGTTGTTTGGTTAACTTTACATTTAATATCGGACCGTTTCTTTTTCAGTGACTTCCTTTGCGTGCTGAGAACAACTGGAGACTCAACTTCAGTTCCCGCCGTTGGAACAGAATCTATTCGCTTCAGAGTGGCTATAGAAGGTTGTATGTCCAAAAGAGTAGTGTCACAGTCATCTATTCTAGTATTGGAAATCACCATGTGTTCCCTGGATTTTGATAATGGTAACGGAATATCATCTTGTTGGGACTGTGTTGCCTTGTTGATATCTGCTCTCTTATTTTGCTTTGATTTCTTTGGGTTTTTCTGAGGGCTTATAATATTTGAAGATTCAGTCACTGAGCTTGAAACAGAATCTGCTTGACTCACAGACTCCAGTAAAGACGGACTATTTAGCAGACTAGTTTCATGCTCATCATTTTTGGCTCTAGAAGTTTTTATACCAGGTCTTCTCACCTTTGGATGCTTCTTGAAGTCCATTAAATCGGCCTCAACTTCTGTAAACGTTGTGGGTTCATCATGTGGGTCGCCTTTGCTTTGTAGTGTTTGCAGAGTATATTTTTCTGGACTGCACTCAGCAATACTGGACTCTAATCTAGAGGTGGCCTGTTGGATTATTTCTGGGTTGCTGACTTCTTTTACCAGGGTGGCGCCACTGGCCTGAAAATGTGATGTACAGTCCTCATCTGCAGACAAGACAGTGCCTTGAGACAAACACTGATTGCTAAATCCAGCAGATTTTTTTGCTTTTAAACGTAACCTTGTTTTGTTCTTCAGTTTCCTTCTAGAAACAGCCTTCCTGTCGATCATAGCAGTTGACGGTGCTTTTACCTGAGAGGTTTCAGAGCAGTTATGATCTGGATTTTGTGAGGTTTCCGCTGTATCTGCCACTAGCTCAAGTTGTGTCATCCGCAGTTGTGATTTTCTTCTAGATGAAGGTGGGTTTACATCACCATTTGCAATTAAGTCCTCCTCTTTCGGTGCAGTGCTGCCATGATTAACCAATGAAAAGTTCTGATTGGTGTCTTCGCATTCAATTGCGTCAGGTTTTTCAGCACTGTCCGAAATTACCGAGTTATACACAGAAAAATCATCTCTTTTATTAGATTTGTGTAGTGGTCCATTTAATTCCTCAAGTTCAGATTTTTTTATTTTTCTTGCTTTCTTATGCTTTTGCAATGCTTTCTGTAGGTTAGGCTGAGAGGAGCAATCGATCCTTGAGGTGGGAAAAGGTGGAGCTGCATGAACATTCTCACTGGGTGGTGGAAAACTGCTTTCTGAAGTAATGTTGAGAAACGTCCTTTCATTTTTTTCAGAGTTTTGTACCTTTTCATCACAAGGCAGAAGAACTGTACTTGGATTTAATATGTCACTTTCCTGTGGTTTTATCTGAGAATCCTTGCATTTATAATCAAGTTGAATTTTGTTGGATACAACAGTTTGATGTGGTACTGTCTCTGATCCTGATGAAAAGTTTTGAATATCAGGGGAAGATTCTGTTTCCATCTTTAGATCGCGTTCTGCATTTTTTGTGCTAACTCTTGTCTTTTGAAAAACATTTTGAATTTGTCCTGGTACAGACAGGCTGGTCCTATCTTCTGTTGGAATCAGCAGTTTTGAGTTCTCACATTCGACCAAAGCTGTATTTTGACTGCCCACTGAGGCTGGAGAAAGTACACAATCTTGTTTTTTTAGTTTACTAGAGTCAGGAAGACATGCAGCACTTTGCTCTATTAATGTAGTCTCAGAGGCATGCAGATTTCTTGCGTTTACCCTCTTGTCCTGCACATCATAGTGTAGGGAATGATCATGGGTGTTAACTGAAGCATTTCCATCTGTAACCTCTGCTTGGTGACAGTCCTTTTGATCAAGATGATGAAGACCATATACAGAAGAACCTTCAAGAACAGTTATATCGTTTACTGTTGAATGTTTGAAGCAAATGCTTGTACCCGCAGTTTTTCTAGGACTGACATCTTTGCACGACTTGGGTCCTTGTGTTGTTCCCTGGAGGATGTGTTCAACAGACTGCTTGACCGTAGGAATACCCAGGAACTCTTCACTTTTCATAAAACCTTCTGATGAAGAAAAAGGAGTGTATGAACTCCTATTAAATCCTGGTAAAAACCCTGGTTCATTTTCTCCATTTCCAGTCATTCCAAGTTCCTCATTCATTTGAGATGTTCCAACAACTAACATGCTTGGTTCATCATTTTCCCCCTGCAAATAGATGAAATATGAGACAATAAATTGATTATATGTTCTTTGATTGGTTGAATGCTGATTTATAAAATCTACATTCAAAAGATTTTTGATATCAGCTCCTACCATTTCCAGGACGTCTTGCTTTTTACTGATGCCATCTGACAACATTGAAATAAAGGTATCCGGTTCTCCTTTCACTCCTTGACCATCCGGCTTCTCATTTAGTTTGGATCCTGCTATCTTATAGTCATCCATTAATGTAAATTTTGCCTCAGTCTCAGGTCCTTTACATACAGGATTTAAGTCCATCAAGGGGCCACATACATCCATGGATAAAGTCTGTTCCATTTCCATTCCATTACTCATCTCTAAAGCATCTTTGATCACTGATGTCCAATTACAGTTTCCTTGGGCCACCTCTCGGTCCTGTGAAAAAAATAATGGAGGTGACAATGGAGAAATAACATTTATTTTGGGTGTGCAGTGTAGAGGTCACATACCTTTTCTTGAGGCACATATTGGGAACATCTGGGAGGAAGCATGTGTGTCACACTAGTTGATGATTCACACAAAGGGTCTTTCAGATAATCACTTTTTTCCCTTTTCCCCACTACTATCTTTTCGTCAACTGAAGTACCAGGTTTAACGAGAGAATTGGGAGAATACGAATATTTAACAGTTGTCATTTCTGATGAAGTTCCATGGTAATCTGGTAGCAAAGCCTTAAATGCACCACTCATACAAGATGACAGCGATGAAACGGGTTCTCCAGCAGCAGAGCTGTCTTCTATCAAGTTATGATCCTAAAAAAAATGGGCAAAAAAGATATTTAAGTTTAGAAGTGAGGCGCTGGATGCAACCTAATAATGTTGCTATTCAGCCTCACAATTGATATATCACTTACCTGTGGCTGTGTTTGGAGCCAGGTACTGTGGGAAAACTCTTCTGTTCTTTCTCCATAATTCCCCTCAGTCATTACTTTATCATAATGTACAGATATATAGTTATTGTAACCTACCTCCTGATGTTCCCCTGCTATATTATGGGGACCCCTGGTGTTATGGCCTCCATGTTTATTCCATGGTGGTAAGTTGCCGTCCATAGTGCCCAAAGGGTGGATCTGATTGAATACACTCTCATAAAATGCCTGTAAGGGGGAAATAGTTTAGATTTAGAAATTAGATTCAGTTTAAAGCTAATTAAATGGCAGAATTTTAGCAAAAAAAAAAAAAAACATTTTCAGAAATCAAACAAGGCAAAACATGATATATAGGGTAAACAACAAACATAGCAGAATTTTTATTTATATTATTCGTTCCATTTCATCCCACTATTTTATTTTCTGCTGCATTTACTTGTGACTTTCTTTTACAAGGAAAATGGTTATTCATAATAAACGTCAAGATCCGAGAATGTTTTTAGTTTTAAAAAAAAAACTTTTATTACTAAAATTAGTATTAGTATTAAAATTAGTATTATTATTATTAAACATCATTAACGTGTTGATTAAAACTTTTTAAATCTGAAGTGGATATTGGTCAACAAAAAGACTTCAGGAAATAATTTACACATACCGGTACTTCACAAACTTATTCAGAGAAATTATGTTACTGTGTATGAATTTAAAGTGTGTGTCAGGTTAAATTTGTAATTATGATTAACACAAAATAGTTAGGGGGAAAACACGTTTGTCAAGTTGGTGTATTGTTTTGTATGTTTTTCAATACCTAAAGGCAGAATATAAGATGAAAAAGTTCGTTATTTTCAGTACTCGCTTCATAAATCAGAAGTTTCAAAAAAGCTACAGAAGTCCTTGGAATGAAATGGCAAAAAACAAAACAAAAAAACAAATGAAGAGCAAATAGCCACTTTTCCATGAATAAACATAACAAGTGCTAATGTTTTAGAGATTCATGATCTTTTATATGTGTCATAAAATAGAACACACTGCTTGACCAAAACATTACATTTTGTCAAATGAAGATGGCCATCTTGACTGCTCCATAGTTATAATACTCTCCTTTAAAGGGATAGTTCACTTCAAAATGAAAATTCTGTCACCATATCCTCAAGTTGTTTCAAACCTGTATGAATTTCTTTCTTCTGCTGAACACAAAAGAAGATATTTTGAAGAATGTTGGTAACCAAACAGTTAACTGGACTGATTGACTTACATAGTAGGAAAAATAAATATGGAAGTCAAAGGGTCCAGTTAACGGTTTGGTTACTGACATACTTCAAAATATCTTCCTTTGTGTTCAGCAGAAGAAAAAAATTCATACAGGTTTGAAACAACTTGAGGGTGAGTAATGATAACAGAATTCTGAAGTGAACTATAACTTCTCTGTCTTGTATGGCAACATTTTCAAGTCTGAAACTGGTCCAAAATACTTCTATGGCACAGAGTAAGGAGGTAACATTTTTGTTTCCATCGATTTAACTAAAATTTGTAAATCTGGTACAGTGTGCAAACTGATAAATGAATACATCAAATTATGATACACTTAAAGTTGCTTGTTTTGGTTACAAGGTTTATTTTAATTACGTTAAATATTAACAAAGACCGAGACAGAAATTCAAACCAGGGCTCAATAAATATTTAAATAGTTTTTTTTTCATGTTCATTTCGAAAACACAAGAGGAGAAACAAAGATATATTGAACGGAACTAAATTGCTTGCAAAACACACGTGATCAGTTTCTTGTGCAGTCGACCGTAAAATATTCCCAAAAGGAGTATACTACAAATGCACAAACATTATTCAAATGGTAATTCGATTTCGAAAGTTTTGTTTGACTAAGTTTGTTTGACCGTAGGTCGGTTAGCTGTATGCTAATTTGCAAACTAAACCGTATTTATATAAACTTACAACACGACTTAGGCTATATGAATGCTCTAATAAACCCGTCTGCTGGATAAAGCAGTTCTGGCAACCATTTTTTGTATTTCTTAATAAGTCAATTAAAATAAAATAATAATAATAATAAAAAGCCACTGGGCGAAAACACAGTGGGCTAATGCACTCACCGATGCGGTCGGCACGCTTAATCCATGTCTCGCTCACGGTCATTTATCTTTTGCTGTTCCAAGTATGCCCGTTAGTCTCAGGGCGTTATTACTTGAATATTAGTGTCGTGTGAATGATCTTTCGTGTTGAATTAATCTGCTTATGTTCCTCGTGGTGGTCTGTTGTGGGGTCTTGGTGTATCCAAACAACACAACATCCGTAATAGACCGGAAGACCGAGAGGTCCGTGTGAGATGTGGAGATGTGCGAGACTTGTCGGGATTTCATTTGTGTTGTACTGGGGGAGTGCATATTCATAAAAGTTTAAAAGTGAAATACCCACATAATAAATCGTATTATATTATAAGGGGGAAGGACAAAAGATATTTGATAAAAATGAGAATTTAAAATCTAGTTCAAAAACGTTTTAAAATGGAATAGGCCTTATTTGTTCTTATGTTGGTTTGAAAAACGTTACGTTACGTAACGTTAATTTTTTTATTAACATTATAAAACACTGCAAAAGATTGTACAAATCTATGCCAATATTTCTTTAAAAAATGCATACATATTGCATTACATATTTTGAAGACCCACAAACATATAAAATGACTTTAATTCAGACACTAAAATTGCGTTACTTCGAAAAGTTACTTTTTCCCCCCACCTATGCTAGCCTTGGTTTTTTACAACAAAAAAGTTATATTTTTGGGCCAATGTAAATTGTAAATACCCTTTTTACACCATAAGTGAAATAAACCTCAGTGAAATACTGAAGTACACTTACTTAACCAATATAATAAAATAAAAATCTATAGTCATTTTTGCTTATGGTTAAACTGAATCATCGAAGGTCAGAAGCAAGTATGTTGGTCAATAAAGTGAGATTAAATGCATAAAAATGTATGTTTTATGTAACATTTAGTTATTGGAGGTTTGCATAGTGTTCTGATTCTGCATTTCACTGATTTTATTCATTTTAAAGAACATTGAATCTTTATTTGTGCAAGATGAGTAAATGCACGCTCAGATTTAGTCTAGAACTACAATCATGTTTACACACACACCTCTGCACTTATGATTTGTCTCAACATGCGGACAGGAGAGCTGTCGTTTACTTATTTGAAAAAGTAATTAATAGATATTTTGTTGTAAATGTTAAAATGAATGCGTTACTTTAGTTACTTGAAAAAGTAATCTGATTACGTAACTCAAGTTACTTGTAATGAGTTTTCCCCAACACTGAAAATAAGTAACGTCATTGACCCACATTGTTAGAAATTTCTTGTAATTTTACAGGAAATTCCTGGCTAATAGTTGCCGTAAATTTACTGTAAACAGTATACAGGACTGCTATTGTAAAATAACTACAACAAGATACTGTAATTTTACAGGATAGAATACTGTAAATTTTACAGCAAAATTTTATATTTACGGCAACTCAGTAGCCAGGAATTTCCTGTAATTTTAGGTATTTTCTGTAATTTCATAGGACAGCATATTTTAAATATTACAATTAAATATTGTAACTTGGATAAATGTCCTCTTTCAGACTTCTGCAAAGAAAAACAAAACACTTTTTTTTTAAATATATATTTTTATTTTCTCTTAAAACGAATGAGAAAACGAGTCCACAATGCACATTTTGGACGTTTTTTTCTCTGCCTGCCCATCTGGGGATGCTGCAAAAGGCTCTGAAAACAGGGAGGGAAACACACTTATCAGATAACATTTAAGACTGATATGACATGGTCATTACCATGACATGAAACATTACAGGGATAGTTCACTTTGATATACATTTTTGGTATGTTTTAGCTTACCTCAAGGGTATCCAAGATGTAGGTGTCTTTGTTTCCACAGTATTTTCAATTTTGATATCTGTCTGTCAGTCATGTAATGGAGGTCTATTGTCACCACCTCAAAGAGCATGCACAGAGAAGTCCAAATTAAACATGATTTAATGACTCGTAAATGTAAGTACAGATTGATGGCCTAAGACACGGAACGAGCGGTTTGTGAGAGAAAACAAACGGTATTAATATCGTTTTTACCTTGTGTAATCGCAGTGACGTCCAAGTACTCTGAGGGCGAGGGCGAGGCCGCTTCTATCTGCGCAAGCGCGCCAGAAAGCCCCGGAAGTGATCTCTCGCGCATGTGCGTCACTCATTGTTTACACAGATTTCGGAAGTTTTACCTTTCACTGTGAAGATCTAAATATCGAAATCGTCTTCCATTGCGATTTCCTGTACATCTAAATATGTTTAGATCTTCACAGTGAAAAGTTAAACTTCTAAAATCTGTGTAAACAATGTGTGTACATGCACAAGAGATCACTTCCGGGGCTTGTGCAGACCAAAGCGCCCGTGCCGTCAGATCAGTTGGATACGGCTGTGGTTATAAGAGGTAAAAACGATATAAATACTGTTCGTTTTCGTTTCGTGTCTTAGGCCATTAATGTGTACTTACATTTATGAGTCATTGAATCATGTTTAATTTGGACTTCTCTGTGCATGCTCTTTGAAGTGGTGACCATACACCTCCATTATATGACTGACAGACAGGAACGGTTTGACCTAAAAATATATCAAAATGGAAAATACTGTGGAAACAAAGACACCTACATCTTGGATGCCCTTGAGGTAAGTGTCACCGGGGAGGCCGGACGCCGGATGACCGGCCGTCCCCACCCCCCCGACACACGTACCACCGCGAGGAGCCAACACCACAGAGGACACAGAGGCCAAGTAAATTAGAGAAAATCACAGAGTCTTTATTGAATAAATTAAGTTAAAACGGCGTCCAGCCAGCTGAAGGAAGGTGAAGTTTCAGCCGTATAGCTGGCTCTTCTCAAAACTCAGGTAGGCAGAGCAGGTTCACCGCGGCAAGAATTTCACCACTAGATGACTTCCTCCATCCAACGAGATGCGGGCGATATATCCACAGCCAGAACCGTTTCCCCGATGTCACTGCATTACACTTCCACTTGTGTTTAACTGTAATTCACACAAATCGGCACACGTGATTTAATGAACAACACTGCAAGTCTTGTCACTCACAAACTAGGGCGTAGACAGGGGATCTAGTCCACTGCACAGCACTACAATCTCTTGGACTTCTTCCAATGAAGCGTGGGACATTCAAACTTCCTCCAAAAAGACAGTGGTACCCCTTTCGTTTTTTTTTTTTTTGGGCGAAAAATTAAGTATCCCCAATCTTCTCAAAACTCTGGATTCTGATAGAGGGCCATGAGACTTAGACCTGAGTGCAACAATGGAGGCTCTAGACCCTTCCAGAGCTGAGATATCGAAAATCAAAAGTTCGACCCGAAAAAAAAAAACGACAGTGTTACCCCTTACGTTTTTTTTTGGGGCGAAAAATTAAGTATCCCCAATCTTCTCAAAACTCTGGATTCTGATAGAGGGCCATGAGACTTAGACCTGAGTGCAACAATGGAGGCTCTAGACCCTTCCAGAGCTGAGATATCGAAACTCAAAATTTCGACCCGAAAAAAAAACGACAGTGTTACCCCTTACGTTTTTTTTTTTGGGCGAAAAATTAAGTATCCCCAATCTTCTCAAAACTCTGGATTCTGATAGAGGGCCATGAGACTTAGACCTGAGTGCAACAATGGAGGCTCTAGACCCTTCCAGAGCTGAGATATCGAAATTCAAAATTTCGACCCGAAAAAAAACGACAGTGTTACCCCTTACGTTTTTTTTTTGGAGCGAAAAATTAAGTATCCCCAATCTTCTCAAAACTCTGGATTCTGATAGAGGGCCATGAGACTTAGACCTGAGTGCAACAATGGAGGCTCTAGACCCTTCCAGAGCTGAGATATCGAAAATCAAAATTTCGACCCAAAAAAAAAACGACAGTGTTACCCCTTACGTTTTTTTTTTGGGCGAAAAATTAAGTATCCCCAATCTTCTCAAAACTCTGGATTCTGATAGAGGGCCATGAGACTTAGACCTGAGTGCAAAATGGAGGCTCTAGACCCTTCCAGAGCTGAGATATCGAAAATCAAAAATTCGACCCGAAAAAAAAAACGACAGTGTTACCCCTTACGTTTTTTTTTGGGCGAAAAATTAAGTATCCCCAATCTTCTCAAAACTCTGGATTCTGATAGAGGGCCGTGAGCCTTAGACCTGAGTGCAAAAATGGAGGCTCTAGACCCTTCCAGAGCTGAGATATCGAAACTCAAAATTTCGACCCGAAAAAAAAAACGACAGTGTTACCCCTTACGTTTTTTTTTTGGGTGAAAAATTAAGTTTCTCCAATCTTCCCAAATTCTGGTAGAGGGCCATGAGACTTAGACCTGAGTGCAAAAATGGAGGCTCTAGACCCTTCCAGAGCTGAGATATCGAAACTCAAAATTTCGACCCGAAAAAAAAACGACAGTGTTACCCCTTACGTTTTTTTTTTTTGGGCGAAAAATTAAGTTTCTCCAATCTTCTCAAAACTCTGGATTCTGATAGAGGGCCATGAGACTTAGACCTGAGTGCAAAAATGGAGGCTCTAGACCCCAGAGCTGAGATATCGAAACTCAAAATTTCGACCCGAAAAAAAAAACGACAGTGTTACCCCTTACGTTTTTTTTTTGGGCGAAAAATTAAGTTTCCCAATCTTCTCAAAACTCTGGATTCTGATAGAGGGCCATGAGACTTAGACCTGAGTGCAAAAATGGAGGCTCTAGACCCCTTCCAGAGCTGAGATATCGAAACTCAAAATTTCGACCCGAAAAAAAAACGACAGTGGTACCCCTTACGTTTTTTTTTTGGCGAAAAATTAAGTTTCTCCAATCTTCTCAAAACTCTGGATTCTGATAGAGGGCCATGAGACTTAGACCTGAGTGCAAAAATGGAGGCTCTAGACCCTTCCAGAGCTGAGATATCGAAACTCAAAATTTCGACCCGAAAAAAAAAACGACAGTGTTACCCCTTACGTTTTTTTTTTTTGGGCGAAAAATTAAGTTTCCCAATCTTCTCAAAACTCTGGATTCTGATAGAGGGCCATGAGACTTAGACCTGAGTGCAAAAATGGAGGCTCTAGACCCTTCCAGAGCTGAGATATCGAAACTCAAAAATTCGACCCGAAAAAAAAACGACAGTGTTACCCCTTACGTTTTTTTTTTTGGGCGAAAAATTAAGTTTCCCAATCTTCTCAAAACTCTGGATTCTGATAGAGGGCCATGAGACTTAGACCTGAGTGCAAAAATGGA